CTCTCTCTCTCTCTCTCTCTCTCTCTCTCTCTCACACACACACACACACACACATAATGTAATACTAAATTTTATTGAAAATATTAATTAAACTTAAATTTGCCATCTTTTATATATCTATATTATAATATGTTATTTGAAAAAGGCTTTATATAAGTTGGACAACTGGTGCCCAATCCCAATTGTATAACAGAAGCAAATAAAAATATGTTAAAATCAAATATACTACTAGTGTTGAAGGGGATGTCTCGAAACATTAGGGGATTGTTTCGACACATAAGCCATAACCTTTGTATACGGGATGTCTCGACAAATAAGTTATGTATACGGGGCTGTCTCGACACTTTACATGTTTTTAAGGGGACGTCTCAACACATTACCTGTATATAAGGGGAATGTCTCGACACATTACCCTTGTATTAAGGGGATGTCTCGATACATTAACAATCACTGTGTATAAAAGATGTCTCGATACATTACCTGTTTATAGGGGAGTGTCTCGACACTTCACCTATTTCTACAGAGATGTCTCGACACTTTACATGTTTGTAAGGGGATCGACTTATATGGGGGAATGTCTCGACACATTAGCCGTATATATGGGGGGATGTCTCGATACATTAGCCTTACAGGATGTCTCGATACATTACCTATGTAAAAGTTGAACGTTTGAAAAGGGATGTCTCGACACATTACCTGTAAGGAAGGGGAATGTATCGACACATAACCTATGTATACGGGGATGTCTCGATATATGACCTGTTTATAAGGGGGTTGTCTCGAGATCTTACCTGTACGCATTCACTTAACCTGTGTATAAGGGGATGTTTTTGTACATCAACAATATTGTGCATTGTGTAGCAATGAAAATAACACATTATCTTTCAACATGTGGTCACGTAGTATAGTATACAGTTAAAGTATGGGGTTGAGGGATATATCAAGTTTCTGGTGTCCCGAGACCAGGTCTATTTCCCGAGGTGAAGCCGAGGGAAATAGGCATGGTCAAGGGACACCAGAAACTTGCTATATGCCTCAACCCAATATTTTAACCGTTTCATTATACCATACACACTGGAGAGATAGTTTTAACTAGAAAATATTTGTAAACCATAAGCTGCCCTTTTGATGGCAATGGAGCCAAATGCTTCCGAGTTCGGTAGCAAGCTCCGCCCACCTCGCGCGTCACTGCCGAGCTCGGTAACAAGCTCCGCCCACCTCTCGCCTGATTGGCTCGGCGGAAACACCCGAGTGTAGGTGTGTTTTAGTTCCCAGACTAAAACACAGGACTAAAACACACTCAGGCAAAAATTCGGATATATTCGATTTAACCAATAACTTGTATATAGAGTAAATAAAGTAGAGGTGTAATACAAATACTTTAACTTGTTAGAGTCTGCTGAGGTACTTGATCGGTACAGCGCCGCAAAAAAAGTAGAATTATTCTTTGGTTAAAAAACAATAAAATGGTCTGCTAGTAGTGAAATATATCACCTTATATGAAATAAATTGAGCGGATAATTTTTCAATCTTTCCTCAATCTTTAGTAACCTTGACATTTAGTCTAAAAAAACACAGGTGTTTACTTCTTACCAAGAACTATATCCCCGCGATTCAATTTGGATGAGGTTAGAAAGAATAGATACGGAACAGAACTTGACTAAGTTTGGTGAAGATAATGAGTACTAGCAAAGTAACATAGCAGAAACAAAATTGTTAATGGACAGACAGACGGACAAGATGAGGCCATCAGCACCCATTTTTGTAGCCCAAAACTGTAAAAAGTTTCAAATATCCCGACCTCCCTACCGGAGTGGTCTCCCATCTTCACACCTCTTTTTGGAGTCTAAAGGCAGCTGGAGTGAGGAGGCAAGGGGATTACCATACATAGTTGGGGAATCATGTTAACTTTAATATATAACGTTCATTGTGTACTTACGACTTGATTGGGAATAATTGGGTACCCGAGAGCTTCTGCGCCTTGGCTGCCGTGGATGTAAGCCGACACTGAACATCCGGAACCACAGCTGATGACGTGGCGACCTGGTTCCACGAGTGATTGCGAGTGGTAGAACGCCACACCCTGACCAGGCAAAAAGGCCGTAACTACTGGGGTGTTATCCAAGGAGATGTGTGTAACATCGCATACCAGTATCAGATATGCAAATTGTGTGGTGTTTGTTACAAAAAACACCAACCGTTGCACTCGTTGCAGTGGCTGTATTCTGATCATGGTAGGGTCAATATTACCGGCGTCAAATCTGATAATCATTGTCACCGAGACAGGGTTGTTTGACCTAAACAGACAGTGTTCGTTTCCCATGTCTTTCGATGAGGATGGATTAGTGCTAGTTAACTCAAAACAGGGGCCACACGAAGAGGTCACGTGAGTGTCATCGGTACCTGTTACAAAAATAGCTTCGTATTCTGCGCCGCGAGGCGGCACTATGGCATGGGTGCATCCCCAAAGGTGTTCCGGGGCCACATGTTGTACCAGATGGTTCCTTTCCCCTCCGACGTCAGTATATCTGTTACCACTGTACACACTCACAACCTTATCCGATCTTATGTGAGATCCGGTCAAGTCGTTTGACATAGTTTGTAGTTGTAGGGTTTCGAAAGCATTGATGGTTTCTGTTAATGAATATTGAGTTACATGGCCATACTTGAATGATTTTGGGCTGATAATGTTGACAGTGGTGAGATCATATACTCCAACGATCAAGATCTCTGCCTTTCCGCTTTTAGTAACGGGATAGTAAGAAAATCCAAGCGACGCTACCGGAATACCCAGAAATCCGTCCATGTAAGACGACCCACTGGTTACGCGATTGATCCCCACAATATATATTTCCTGGTCAGACTCGATAGATATACCCTGCACGCTCTTCCCTGTTCCTTCGACCTCGTATTCCACTGGAATCGCTATCGAAACAGAATCCATTGGTCCTACCAAATATTTTGAGTCGAGTATTGGATTGTTTGAGGAGCCGACAGACTTGACCATGATGGAAGCAGCAATCGGAAAACTCTGATTCGTGCGACCGATGTAAATGGTTAACGCCTTTGTATCATATTTGTTCTGCATAAAACCCACCATGAAGCTGTTACCATGACAAACTGAAACGATGATAAAAGTCGTTATCAGGTGACTACACTAACCATTAATGTTTTACCCTACAAATACTGTTATACAGTGATACAAGTCAACAAAAGGTAGCAACTCTATCCATTAATGTTATACCCTACAGATACTGTTATGCAGTGATACAAGTCAACAAAAATTAGCAACACTATTAATTAATGTTATACCCTACAGATACTGTTATACAGTGATACAAGTCAAGATAAGGTAGCTACACAATCCATTAATGTTATAGCCTACAGATACTGTTATACAGTGATACAAGTCGAGATAAGATAGCTACACTATCCATTAATGTTATACCCTACAGATAATGTACGGTGATACAAGTCAAGATCATGTAGCTACACAATCCATTAATGTTATATACAAGTCACGATCAGGTAGCATCTACACAATCAATTAATGTTATACCCTACAGATACTGTTATACGGTGATACAAGTCACGATCAGGTAGCTACACTATCCATTAATATTATACCCTACAGATACTGTTATACAGTGATACAAGTCACGATCAGGTAGCTGCACTATCCATTAATGTTATACCCTACATATACTGTTAAACAGTGATAAATTCAAGATCAGGTAGCAACACTATCCATTAATGTTATACCCTACAGATACTGTTATACAGTGATACAAGTCACGATCAGGTAGCTACACTATCAATTAATGTTATATACAAGTCACGACCAGGTAGCTACACTATCCAATAATGTTATACCCTACATATACTGTTATACAGTGATTCAAGTCACGATCAGGTAGCTTCACTATCAATTAATGTTATATACAAGTCACGACCATGTAGCTATACTATCCATTAATGGTATACCCTATATATACTATGTAGTGTTGTACAGTGATACAAGTCAAGTACTATATTCTAGGCCTACAGATGCTGTTATACGGTGACAGTGTATTACAGTATAGGTATCGGCCAGACGCTACGTTACTACAAGTACTTATTCCGTCTTTGCGTATTGCAGAGTTATCTTCTCTTGTGAGCAGGTATTGATTGTTACGTCATTGGTTTGTGTGAGAAAATTACGTCGTTTTCTCAAAAATTGTTGACGTTATTCTCACAAACCAATGACGTAACAGTCCATACCTGCTCACAAGAGAAGATAACTCTGCAATACGCAAAGACGGAATAGGTCCGATGATAATGCCAATACGGGAAGGTATCGGTCCCACAGTATTGTCAGTTCTGTGTGGTAAAAACAGATGTCAAGTCGGTTTTACTCACGAGACACTACAGATAAAACCATTCCAATAGTGTTTATAATACATGAACCGTATTGGGTCTATGGTATAACACTTCATATATAGGTTTTTATCCAAAAATAGTTCCATTAAGTGAACTTCATATGACGTTAGTTGTTCTAAAAACGTGAATCGTGCAACTGATTTCTTAAAAGGGGAGAATTAACAAAAAGTTGTTGAACATTTAAACTCCAAAAAGAGAAAAAGCAAGAAAAAGTCGTCAACAGAAATTGAATCAGATATGTTAATTAAAAAAATAAAATAAAAAAATACAGCGCTCAGTACTTACCCTCAAATAGGAAGAGAAGCAGTATACGAGACACAAACAGAAACCTTCCGAGGGAATCCATGATAGTTGCTTGACTGATTTAAACGTCCCAGGGGTGACGTCTTTTTAAAGCGGGAACTACAACCACACGAGTAACCAAGCATGTGACATGTAACGTACACGTTTACCTTGTAGTCTCGTCTTGCACGTCAATTGCTCATTACAATACAATATTAATAAGAATGACATTCAGGTGGAGAGAATCAGTGCTATAATGAGATAGCAGAATATGTAATGAGCGTGTGACTTGTATCATCCAGCTCGTCCTGATCCACACAACGTCATACAACGGGTCAGCCTATTGCTGAGACTGATTGGCGCATCGTCACCTATCAAACAAGTGCACCCTACAGCTAGTCCAGTACTTTATTAGACATCTTATATACCATTTAAAATTATTTTTTTTAGTTTTATTAAATTCTGGATCGACAATGCTCCTTGAACAAAAGTTAAGTTGGCTTGTCACAGTCTTGTATCAGGTAACTACACTATCAATCAAGCGCGATCACAGTTATCAAACAAGTGCGCCCTATAGCTGGCCAATCTCGTATCATCACATGTATCAAACTAGTGCACCCTATAGCTGGTCCAGTCTCGTATCATCACATGTATCAAACAAGTGCACCCTATAGCTGGTCCAGTCTCGTATCATCACAGATATCAAACAAGTGCACCTTATAGATGGTCCAGTTTCGTATCATCACATGTATCAAACAAGTGCACCCTATAGCTGGTCCAATCTCGTATCATCACAGATATCAAACAAGTGCACCTTATAGATGGTCCAGTCTCGTATCATCACATGTATCAATCAAGTGCACCCTATAGCTGGTCCAGTCTCGTATCATCACAGGTATCAAACAAGTGCACCCTATAGCTGGTCCAGTTTCGTATCATCACATGTATCAAACAAGTGCACCCTATAGCTGGTCCAATCTCGTATCATCACAGGTATCAAACAAGTGCACCTTATAGATGGTCCAGTCTCGTATCATCACATGTATCAATCAAGTGCACCCTATAGCTGGTCCAGTCTCGTATCATCACAGGTATCAAACAAGTGCACCCTATAGCTGGTCCAGTTTCGTATCATCACATGTATCAAACAAGTGCACCCTATAGCTGGTCCAATCTCGTATCATCACAGGTATCAAACAAGTGCACCTTATAGATGGTCCAGTCTCGTATCATCACATGTATCAATCAAGTGCACCCTATAGCTGGTCCAGTCTCGTATCATCACAGGTATCAAACAAGTGCACCTTATAGCTGGTCCAGTTTCGTATCATCACATGTATCAAACAAGTGCACCCTATAGCTGGTCCAATCTCGTATCATCACAGGTATCAAACAAGTGCACCTTATAGATGGTCCAGTCTCGTATCATCACATGTATCAATCAAGTGCACCCTATAGCTGGTCCAGTCTCGTATCATCACAGGTATCAAACAAGTGCACCTTATAGCTGGTCCAGTCTCGTATCATCACAGTTATCAAACAAGTGCACCCTATAGCTGGTCCAATCTCGTAACATCACAGGTATCAAACAAGTGCACCCCATAGCTGGTCCAGTCTCGTATCATCACATGTATCAAACAAGTGCGCCCTATAGCTGGCCCAGTCTCGTATCATCACAGTTATCAAACAAGTGCAGCCTATAGATGGTCCAGTCTCGTATCATCACATGTATCAATCAAGTGCACCCTATAGCTGGTCCAGTCTCGTATCATCACAGGTATCAAACAAGTGCACCTTATAGCTGGTCCAGTCTCGTATCATCACAGTTATCAAACAAGTGCACCCTATAGCTGGTCCAATCTCGTAACATCACAGGTATCAAACAAGTGCACCCCATAGCTGGTCCAGTCTCGTATCATCACATGTATCAAACAAGTGCGCCCTATAGCTGGCCCAGTCTCGTATCATCACAGTTATCAAACAAGTGCAGCCTATAGATGGTCCAGTCTCGTATCATCACATGTATCAAACAAGTGCACCCTATAGCTGGTCAAATCTCGTATCATCACAGGTTTCAAACAAGTGCACCCTATAGTTTGTCCAGTCTCGTCCCATCACAGTTATCAAACAAGTGCGCCCTATAGTTTGTCCAGTCTCGTATCATCACAGGTATCAAACAAGTGCGCCCTATAGCTGTCCAATCTCGTATCATCACAGGTATCAAACAAGTGCACCCCATAGCTTGTCCAGTCTCGTATCATCACAGTTATCACACAAGTGCGCCCTATAGCTTGTCCAGTCTCGTATCATCACAGGTATCACACAAGTGCGCCCTATAGCTGGGTTAGTTTCGTATCATCACAGTTATCAAACAAGTGCGCCCTAATTTTCATTATTAAAATGAAGCACTCTCTCTTGGAAAGAAGGCTATTACCGGTGATGATAAAACAAGAAAGGGGTACTGTCGTAATAGAAATAAAACAAGAAAACTTAGAAAGGAATTCGAAAATAAGTTATCATCAGAGGCTCATACATTCGTTCGAAATCAAAAACGAAAACCGAAATAGGAGATCTCTATTCCGAACCAGGATATAAGCAATCGCGTAAAGAACAAAACGACAGAGAAAAAGGCAAATATTTTAGCATCTTATTTTAAAAACGTTTTTGTGACCGAACCAGGCGATGAAATGTAAAGACCAAAATTTTCCGACAAAGAAGTTAATATCCCATGCAATGCAACCGATAAATATTAACCGTGAAACTGTGTTAAAAGAACAACTTAAACTGAAAGTCAACAAATCACCAGTATAGATAGAGTACATCCGCGTTTTCGGTAAAAATGACACCCCCAATGATCATATGATTAATGGGGGGTGCCATTTTTACCGAAAATCGATCTAAACCCGTAAAACTACTCTGAACACCTTAGTTTAGGTCCAAATATAGCTGTAACAAATTATCAGGTCCCTGTGATCATTACGTTACAGTGTCATGAAAGTAGGATATGTACCAGATGATTGCAAAATGGCACAAATTAGCGCTATGTTTTTTAGAAAGTGTTAGCCTGGAAACTATTCCGTCTTTGCGTATTGCAGAGTTATCTTCTCTTGTTAGCAGGTATTGATTGTTACGTCATTGGTTTGTGTGAGAAAATTACGTCGTTTTCTCAAAAATTGTTGACGTTATTCTCACAAACCAATGACGTAACAGTCCATACCTGCTCACAAGAGAAGATAACTCTGCAATACGCAAAGACGGAATAGGTCCGATGATAATGCCAATACGGGAAGGTATCGGTCCCACAGTATTGTCAGTTCTGTGTGGTAAAAACAGATATCAAGTCGGTTTTACTCACGAGACACTACAGATAAAACCATTCCAATAGTGTTTATAATACATGAACCGTATTGGGTCTATGGTATAACACTTCATATATAGGTTTTTATCCAAAAATAGTTCCATTAAGTGAACTTCATATGACGTTAGTTGTTCTAAAAACGTGAATCGTGCAACTGATTTCTTAAAAGGGGAGAATTAACAAAAAGTTGTTGAACATTTAAACTCCAAAAAGAGAAAAAGCAAGAAAAAGTCGTCAACAGAAATTGAATCAGATATGTTAATTAAAAAAATAATATATAAAAAAATACAGCGCTCAGTACTTACCCTCAAATAGGAAGAGAAGCAGTATACGAGACACAAACAGAAACCTTCCGAGGGAATCCATAATAGTTGCTTGACTGATTTAAACGTCCCAGGGGTGACGTCTTTTTAAAGCGGGAACTACAACCACACGAGTAACCAAGCATGTGACATGTAACGTACACGTTTACCTTGTAGTCTCGTCTTGCACGTCAATCGCTCATTACAATACAATATTAATAAGAATGACATTCAGGTGGAGAGAATCAGTGCTATAATGAGATAGCAGAATATGTAATGAGCGTGTGACTTGTATCATCCAGCTCGTCCTGGTCCACACAACGTCACACAACGGGTCAGCCTACTGCTGAGACTGATTGGCGCATCGTCTCGTCACATATCAAACAAGTGCACCCTACAGCTAGTCCAGTACTTTATAAGACATCTTATATAATATACAAGATATCTTATATACCATTTAAGATAAAAAAATGTTTTTATAATTTTATGAAATTCTGGATCGACATTGCTCCTTGAACAAAAGTTAAGTTGGCTTGTCACAGTCTTGTATCAGGTAGCTACACTATCAAACAAGTGCGTCCTATAGCTTGTCCAGTCTCGTATCATCACAGTTATCAAACAAGTGCGCCCTAAAGCTTGTCCAGTCTCATATCATCACAGTTATCAAACAAGTGCGCCCTATAGCTGGTCCAGTCTCGTATCATCACATGTATCAAACAAGTGCGTCCTATAGCTTGTCCAGTCTCGGATCATCACAGTTATCAAACAAGTGCGCCCTATAGATTGTCCAGTCTCGTATCATCACAGTTATCAAACAAGTGCGCCCTATAGCTGGTCCAGTCTGGTATCATTACATGCATCAAACAAGTGCACCCTATAGCTGGTCCAGTCTCGTATCATTACATGTATCAAACAAGTGCGCCCTATAACTGGTCCAGTCTCGTATCATCACATGTATCAAACAAGTGCACCATATAGCTGGTCCAATCTCATATCATCACAGGTATCAAACAAGTGCACCCTATAGATGGTCCAGTCTCGTATCATCACATGTATCAAACAAGTGCGCCCTATAGCTGGTCCAGTCTGGTATCATTACATGCATCAAACAACTGCACCCTATAGCTGGTCCAGTCTCCTATCATCACAGGAATCAAACAAGTGCACCTTATAGCTGGTCCAGTCTCGTATCATCACATGTTTCAAACAAGTGCACCCTATAGCTGGTCCAATCTCGTATCATCACAGGTATCAAACAAGTGCGTCCTATAGCTGGTCCAATCTCGTATCATCAACGGTATCAAACAAGTGCACCCTATAGCTGGTCCAGTCTCGTACTATCACATGTATCAAACAAGTGCACCCTTTAGCTAGTCCAATCTCGTATCATGACTGGTATCAAACAAGTGCACACTATAGCTGTCCAATCTCGTACCATCACATGTATCAAACAAGTGCACCCTATAGCTGGTCCAATCTCGTATCATCACAGGTATCAAACAAGTGTACCCTATAGCTGGTCCAGTCTCGTACTATCACATGTATCAAACGAGTGCACCCTTTAGCTAGTCCAATCTCGTATCATGACTGGTATCAAACAAGTGCACCCTATAGCTGGTCCAGCCTCGTATCATCACATGTATCAAACAAGTGCACCCTATAACTTTTCCAGTCTCGTATCATGACTGGTATCAAACAAGTGCATCCTAGCTATAGCTGGTCAAATCTCGTATCATCACAGGTATCAAACAAGTGCACCCTATAGATGGTCGAATCTCGTATCATCACAGGTATCAAGCAAGTGCACCCTATAGCTGGTCCAGTCTCGTATCATCACAGGTATCAAACAAATGCACCCTATAGCTGATCCAGTCTCGTATCATGACTGGTATCAAACAAGTGCACCCTAGCTATAGCTGGTCAAATCTCGTATCAGCACAGGTATCAAACAAGTGCACCCTATAGATGGTCCAGTCTCGTATCATCACATGTATCAATCAAGTGCACCCTATAGCTGGTCCAGTCTCGGATCATCACAGGTATCAAACAAGTGCACCCTATAGATGGTCCAATCTCGTATCATCACAGGTATCAAACAAGTGCACCCTATAGATGGTCCAATCTCGTATCATCACATGTATCAAACAAGTGCACCCTGGTCCAGTCTCGTATCATCACAGTTATCAAACAAGTGCGCCCTATAATACATGTTTTAGGGGTTTATATCGACTTTCGGGGGAAATGACAACCCCAATGATCATATGATCATTGGGGGTGATCATTGGGGGTGTCATTTTTACCGAAAATCGGTCTAAACCCGTTAAACATGTAAAACTACTCTGAACACCACAGTTTAGGTTCAAATATAGCCGTAACAAATTATCAGGTCCCTGTGATCATTACTATACAATGTCATGAAAGTAGGATATGTACCAGATGATTGCAAAATGGCACAAATTAGCGCTTTGTTTTTAGAGAGACAAGTGTGAGCCTGGAAACTATAGACCGGTCAGTCTAACGTCCATCGTGTATAAAGTATTAGAAATAGTTTTAAAAAGTCATATTCTTAAATATATCACGGTCAATTCTTTATTATCTAAGAAGCAGTACAGATTTGTATCTGGGAGATCTACTAGCTTACATATTCTCAAATTCTTAGATGAATAGACCGAACTGTCATGGAATTCCAAAAAGCATTCGATACTGTTCCACATATATTCTTAGTAAAATGTCCTCATATGGAATAAGTGACGAAATCATTAACTTGACGTCCAGTTTCATTTTCGACTAGTCCGAATTATTCTGACGTTTTATCAACTTTTTTCATATCGGTCTGTCGTCGATTAACGTCAGAACTCCGGCCCCCTATAATATGCGGGAAATATATGCGACCCGCGCCCGGAGCGCACTTCAAACTGATATTTTAGAAATAGGGTGAGCTATAGATTCGGATTAGTTAGTAAACATGAAGGAGTGCAATAAAATATACTCAAAATCTGTTAGTATCTAGAATAAATTGATGCGTCTGTTTGGCTATTAGGATGTCTTTACTATTAAGTATTGTCAAATGATTACGTGTATGCTTGGTAATTTAAATTAAGGCAGGTTAAACAAGATTCTAATATATATAACATGCAACATACAACATATATATATATATATATATATACGATAAATATAGATTTGCGCATATTTTTATTTCCGATTACGATCTGAGTTACATATGAAGTAACCACTCTGGAATTCAAGGTGTGTGATGTCATTCGGGCGCTTACCTTGGCGCATGCGTAGTTAGACTTTACCTGGAAGGTGATCAAAAAGCCGTAGCGGAAGTCCGAGTGTTGTTGTAACTGTTTGAATTCGTGATATGTGAAGAGGTACGTATATAATGATGTGTGTTACACTGTCAGAACTATTTAAACTGAAAATATCAATGTTCAAATTAGAATCTCAACACTCACCTGTGTTTGTGACCATGTTGTACCCCGAGGGATAGTCTGACTTTAGTTGTTGATAAAATACCGGAAGTGACAGTTTGCATTATTATTTGGGATAATAACTGATTTACGGCCAATCTTAAATAAACTTGATTACATAAACTAAATTTCCATCGCCCTTTTTGGGTGTCGACCCCCTACAAAATACCTCTATGTCGTGATCATAGGAGAATATTGTCAGTGCATACCTGATAAGCCCTATCTGTCCTCCCTCCAATCCGCGTTCTCCTACACGTACAACAAACACAAGGTATACATGTCATGATGTCCGCCGTCTGTCTATAGTGCCTTGGAAGTGGGTACGCTCTCAACCACCTAGCTCCCTATCTCTCCTCCAAATAAAGGAACTAGCTAGTTCCCATTACTATCAGTAGACTGGGAAGGTGGGGCCTGCTGGTTCTATCCCTGGTAGAAGCTAGCACACAGCTCTCTTTCCTGTTACAATGATGCAGTAATGGTTTGATGTAGAGAAGTGGGTGCCCACACACTAGACTCTACCCTCCAAGTGTCCAGAACTGGACTTCATCCTCAACACAAACTCATCTTTAACAACAACCTCGCGCTCGCGTGCACATTTTTGTGTTAACTGCAAAGCAAAGGTGACATGAGAACACTGATGCTGTTGGCATCTGTATAAAGACTTCTAAACCCACACAAGTTCGTTCTTGTATCTTTGAACAAGATACTTTACTCTGCTTGTTCCAGTCTACTCAGCTGTAAATGAGTATGTGGATGGGTAGTGGTACAATTGTTCAATGCTAGCTGCATGTGAGCATGTGTATTGAAATGGCACCAAAGCCTGTATGCTCCCCCAGTGAGTTGCGAAAGATATTGGCTGGTTAATTACAAAGGCCCTATTGCCATGGATAATAATTTGTGAACCGCTTTGAGACGACCTACAAACTAGGTTGTGATAAAGCGGTATATAAGGACCTCAAATTATTCTTATTGTTGAAATAGATTAGATCCGAAAAGCAATGTTGACAGCCAGTGGCCATCTTTGATTATACTCCTGAATAGAATCGAAAACATAGCTTTTGACGATGGGGCAATTTTTATATATTCAGGGCAGAGGAGGCCAGGTATAAATATCAGTAATAGCCCCCGAAATGTCCACAAAAGTTTCCATTGAATGGAATGATTCAATAACTCGAAATTTCGTTCAGCCAATTCTGAAGTTCAATATGACAGTCAGTTGCCATCTTGTATTTGGGCACCCCAGGTCCCGTAATTGTTTCATTGTAAGGATCCCTGTCCCATAACACTGTGGTTTTTATATGCCTGTTGTCGGACAGGTTGTATTATGGTATGGGCTGTGTTGACTGATGTCCGTGTGACCGGATGTCCGTCACTCTCCTGTCTTCATTCATTACCATATCTTGATAAAACCTGGTACACATATATTGCATAGCTCGAACGAGTTCGCATTTCAAAAGTTTACATGCATTTTTGGTTGAGTTATGCCCCTTTTATTGCCAAATAAGGGCATTGTGAAGTAAATGCAAGAACTTTTTATTTTTTAATCAATTCTTTTCAAATTCTGTACAGTAATGCTAGAAGCATTTATGTTCAACATATATTACAGGTTTTTCTGTTGAGTTTCAACTTTCCACATTTTGGCATATCACACTTTACATTGCAACACTCATACTGTACTTCATTTATGCCGTTCATTCTTGCAATTGAATCTCTCAACTCAATATTTTTCCATGTATTATGTATATGATGCCATGATATCTGGATGCAAACTGCAGTTCAAGACTCCTACCTCAAAGCCAAGGTTCTAGTTTTGGTAATACAAAAAAAATGTAGCAACATTTACCAGGGAAGTGTAATTCTGAAACACAAAATAGCTTGAGCCAAAAACACAGTAAATGAATGGCAAGGTCACTGTGATTCACCAACAAAACTTACAGCAAACACATTTATATCATATGCCACTATAACCTGCTTCCAATATATCAATACCGTTCCGAGGGTCCGACGGGTGTATCGTGCTTCTGCTCGCAGTACTCTTGTCCATAGATACAGTAACCTCCCCTTAATTTTGTTTTGGATATAACTTTAGCACAGTTGGGCTAGGCCCACTCCTATCGACTTGGTGGCTCAGTCTGTTCGAGAGATAGTAAAACTATCTGAACTCCAGGGTTAGAATACCACTCTAGCCCCTTGGAATTGTTCACACTCGGAACACTGTTGATTATGTTGTGTTCATTTTATCTCAATTAAATTATTTTCAATAAAACTCCTGCAATGTATGGTTTCATTTTCAGAAATGATTTGATTATCAAAGTTTTAGTCATGCTGGAAAAAAATAGTTTCCAGTGAGTTTTTTGGTACAGGGATCCTTAAGTTTGTTTATTTACAGGGTTCTTGGTATTAGTTCTTGATTAACCATTTTATCAGAACATAGCAAGAATTGAAAATTTAATCTCCTAACATCTGTATACATTTCGGTACAAAGGCGAAACATCCATGTCTGCGGAACATTTACCATTGCTTGTATTTTTTATTTTTTTTGTATGGTTTAGACCCCAGTCACCATGACAACGGTACCACCTCTCCAAGCTTATTCGGGGTCAACTCCTAATGACAGTGAGTACTACTACAGCGACAACTCCAAATGGACCAAGGACATCCTAGTTACGCGTGACCCAGTGTTTGTAAATAAAGCTGTCGTGAATGGCGAGTACATTGGTCGGAAACCACACACCTATATCTACCTCGCAATCGCCGTTACCGTCCTCAACCCTCTCCTTGGACCCTTTGCCATCATGTTTGCAGGTCAGTATACACAGCACTCTATGTTTCCTCATATAATGTTTGTAGGTTGATAACATGATTTCCCTTTCCCATCATCATCATAATGTTTAATTTTATAAGCAGTGAATTTTGTGGGATCATTTCCGGGAAAGTTCTGAACATAATTTTCATAATTTTAATGAGTTAATTACCAAGATATTAGCCCTTCAAACATAATTTTAAAAAAAATCAAATTTGATCACAATTTATTTTTGTTGCTAGGGAAATATACCTGTTGCTATAGAGAAAAAATTGGGACAATTACACGTAAAAAAGGTTCACATTCACATTATTCATTGACAATCAACCATATTATTCATATAGACAGTCAACCATATCATGGTTTCCATAAAATTTAACTGCTATAACAAGTGTCCACCTTAAATTTCGGCTATTTTCATATTTATATGGATAAAACTGTTACCATGGCAACAAAATATATAAAAAAATAGCAGAAAATAATGAGCTTACTTTGATATATAACTGACCAAAATTACATAAGTCTAACTGGTCAATTATAATTACAGTCAATATTTCAATAAAGTAAGCTTATTTTCAACATTTTATTGAAATATTCTATGCGAAATTGACATATAAAACAATCTCCATGGAGGAAAGGTTAATGGTGGGTTCTGAGAATGTGGTCTATCTGAAAACAGTTTGAAATTGACTATTGATAGCTTAATTAGATGACATTGTCCAATAATGTTAATTTTTGTTAATTTCCAGTGATGTCTACACGATCCTATGACGATGGAGATATCAAGTCGGCCGTGAAGTGGGCGAATTACTCGTTCATGTTGGGGATGATGACAATAGGCATTTCAGTAATTTTATATATAGCAATAGGATTTTCTCTGAGTGGTCTGGGGACAAAAGGAGGTCACGCTCCCTGATCCCGAATACCTGTACCCTGTAAATATGTATATAGCTCATCATTCTACAACACACTCTGTCAATGAACATTGATTTATCAGTGTAGAACGACATTAGGAGGTCAATCAGTGCAGGTTCAGTGATTAATGTTTTAGATTATTGCTCCAGAAATGTGTTTTCTGTGACTAATGGTAATTAATGGTATCAATATTTAATGTCCCATCACAATTAAACTTCGTGGAGGTTTGTTCTACAGAAACAATGAATTGGTAATGGTTCAAAATTAATTCACCTTAACAGATCGTCAGATGTGCCTCAAATTACTGGCATACTTAACTGATATTACAGGTAGACTAATCCACTTCTACAGGTATGAAAATATTTTCAGCCAGATTCTGATCACTCGGATAACACCTAAAAAATCCAATGTAAGAATTTGATTATAAACTTTTATGCCAAAATTAATCTCTGTTAAAGCATTCTTGGAAGTTAACATATTAATCAGGAAATATTTTGGAATTCTGAAATTAAATTTTCTGGACGAATGAATTTTTAATTACACTACATATGCAGAAAATGAATCGTCCAGGCATATGAGGTTCGCCAATATGTACTATATACGCGGAAAGTTAAACATGGATACATGTATATATACATCAGTGTATAATTAGAAAAAAGTAGATTTAGCACGACATTTAACTAAAGATGGTTGTTACAAGCTCCGATAACACTTGGAAAAGGTCATGATATATCCTATTTGTACCTGTAGCATATCATTAACCCTTTCATCCCTAGGTAACTTAAGTAGACTCTACCATACATTCATCTGGATGAGTCCATTATGGTCTACAGTGGTGAAAGGGTTAAAACTCCTTTTATTTCATTCTTTTTACACCATGACTAATTAACATACATACTGACTTTTTTTTTATGTGAAAGTCTAGTAATGCTGAAATTAGAATCTCAAAATTTTGTAGGCCTGTCATTTCAAAGAACATGGACATTCAATGATCAGGTAGAACCTGAAACAATGGCTCTCAACCATATCCCACATAAACTAGTGAGAGAAATCTGAATCCTTAGCCAGCCTTTCCATTGGACGAGACCTCTGCTAGTCTTGCAATTCTTTTTGGGGGATGGGAGGAGGGGAGAAAACTCAGAAGTGTCCATTCTCTGCGAATGTCCAGAATTATGTAATTACTGTACCCATTTATTAATATAATCATATTTCATCAGCTTATCAATGAACTTGATAACACATGCTGTTAACTTTTGCTGTTTCATGAATTCACAATTAATTTGGTTGTTTAAATGAAATGTAATTTATCCTTCCATAAATTGTATAAATTTCTGCCAATATTACAGATTCTTGTGTACATATCTTTACTTTATTTCAACATCAATGCCAGTATACAACTTATAATTCCATATGCACTATTGCAGCAAATTTTATTTGTAAAGTGTGTTTCATATATATGTATTTAATTTTTATTTCAACATTTTCTGATAATTCTTCACATATACATGTATATGTATTTTTAATTTTTATTCTGTCATTTTCTGGTAATTCTTCACATATAAAAAAGAAAAACGAATTTCAATCGCTTTTCACAGAAATTCTCTGTATGACATATTTTTTAATATCTCTAATGTTACATGCGTTGCACAGGGTCTGTCCATACATATCTTGCACTTGTTAAGGCCCGAGAACAGGTCGTCTCTGGCATAGGGCAAAGAGGATTTACACCCCCCTGTCAACAGTAGCACCCATTTACTGTAGATTTACGATAAATCCATGCTAACTTAAGTCTGCGGACAAGAAACTGTCTTGGGAACCTCCAACTCTGTAATATCTTTGGCCATTTCCTTGATAATTGTCATGAGGTTGGTTATAAACATTTTACCGTACGTACCCTTGATGATGACATGAATTATCAATTCTGTCATCTTTTATTATATGTCTATGAAAGAAGAATAGCTATAGAAAATATAAGGTTTTGTTGATGTATTTTATCAGTGATTTAAATTTTGAAATGTAATAATATTTTTAAATATATACGTAAAAAATCCATTTTTATACCGAGTCAGATCAGAAATGAAAATAAATTTTAAGAAAATGAACAGATTTTGTGTTATCCTTGTACATTGTATATGACGATGCAGCGATATCATATACAGCATTAGTACACCGATTTTCATTGTTGCAAATGTGACTGTCTCCGTGAAAGGGTGATATTTTACACGTTTCGTGAATCAGCGACTGCAAGATGAAAGTAAATATTTCTGATCAACCGTCACCTTCAACAGACCTAACAATGTTCTCGATCAATATGACAATTAAGAGACACTGGAGACACGGTAGTCTAGTGGTAGGACGCTGGGCTAGTGAACGAAGGGTTGCAGGTTCGCGCCACGGCACAGCACTGTGTTGTATCTTTGAGCAAGATACTTGACTTTACTTGTTCCAGTCTACTCAGCTGTAAATGAGTACGAGGTTGAGCAGTGCTAGAATTGTAGAATGCTAGCTGTGAGCGCAGAAATGGCAGCACTAGCTGTTTGCTCCCCTGGGAGTTGAGAAATATATTGGCTGGTTACAAAGGCCCTATTACCATGGATATTAATTTAAATGTGAGACGACCTACGAACTAGGTTGTGATAAAGCGGTATATAAGGACCTCAAATTAAGACCGCTATGGATGACAATTATATAAGGATGCTATATGTATACCACCACAATTTGGTTTCAATCTGCCCAGTATTTTGCCATGACGAAATGTTTCAAGCAATCTTTGAATTTGACCCGTTTTGACCCGAATTCTCTGCCCCCAGGAGGGTTGATTCCCATTGGTTAAGCTAAACAACACTACATCCTGGTTGAAATCTGTCCAGCAATTCAGGAAGACACTTAATTTAAAGCAAATCAGCCAATATGACACTTGTTTTCCTATCCTTCAGCCCACAGCAGTGTCAGCTAGTTTCTCTTAACTATTTGATCCCAATGAGCTTAGCATGCTCCAACTACAATTTGATTGAAATATGCCCAGTAGTTTGGGAGATGTCATTTAATGCAAATCGGCAAATTTGACTCTTTGTACCCAGCCCTTCAGACCCAAGGAGGGTCAAGGCTAGCACACCAATTTGGTTAAATTCTGCTCTTTAGGAGATGGCACTTAATTCAAAAGTAAACGAAGAATAGATAACGGACAAAGAAAAAATCTTGCCCAGGTACAACATACTAGAAGAGATGATTAAAAATATGAATTTGATATTTTAATATAATAGGCGAGGTTCCAATCACAACACAGCTCAGGCGTCACCAGATAGTGGGGTTTTATTGGCCGACTAGTTTCGACTCTTAAAGTGAGTTTTTATCAGGTCCTGGCGTCACCAGTTAGTGGGGTTTTATTGGCTGACTAGTTTCGACTCTTAAAGTGAGTTTTTATCAGGTCCTGGCGTCACCAGTTAGTGGGGTTTTATTGACCGACTAGTTTCGACTCTTAACCCATCTAAACAACCACAAGATGTTGGCTTTACATTTTTTTTGTTAATCTTTGATATTATTATAAGATGCATCTCTATCATACATGTGGCTGTCAACTGTTAAAGGAAAACAAACAGAACTAATGAGTTTCAGTATCTTTATTACATATATACACAATGTGTACACAAACGTCAATAGCATATATTGTTATTTGGTATAAAAACATGCATGCTTTAATTAAAAAGGTATATATGCTTATTTCAAAAATCCTTCTGTACAATATCTAAAATGTAAATTAATGATCTAGAACTTTACATGAGTGATGACAAGATGGAGGAGTAAGACAAGTACCTATTTGTGTTGTAAAGCTTTGATTATGACTGAAATACCTTTGGTTCGTTAGTCACAACAGGTGATATCCACACCTCAATAAATCCTATTAATGCAGATTTACTTGACAGATTAAAACCCTTAAAGAATTGGTATTAAAAGACCAGGTCAATTAAAGTATTGATTTTTTAGCATTAAATGTATTTTCAATATATATTTTGTACCTGGAAATGTTAGCCACATGTTTTTTCCCCATTTTCTACCTTTATATTGAGGGTGAATTTATCAAGACAGTCAACTTTAGTAGACATTATACATATATTTACTGTAAGGCAAAAATAAGCCTGGATGAAAATATCTTACTATTGAAGAGGAACATTGCCCTGTATTCCAGAAGCTTCAATGTCCCCTGTGTCTGTCTACGTCTTTGTACACCAACACAATGATGCTAGAACTTTGTTCTGTGTAGACATTTGGCTACAACCTTACACTAGTATAATTTATTTGTTAGATCACATGGATTATCAATGATAGCAATCACATATGAATGAGATTCAAATTTATGTACTCTAGTAGTACACCATCATCATTTGAATCTGCATTAACAGGTTTTTTTTGTAAAAAACATTTTTCAGTGAACCCTGTAACAGAATGTTTTCAACATCATGAACATTCCTATATTTCAGATCAATATACCAAATCTTCTTAACATTACAAAGCACTTTTACAATTCTACAAGAATTTCACAATCAATCAATATTTTGGCTTTATGATGATAAGCAGGTATAATTCTGCATTGTGTGTAAATCTAATTAAATATACATTTTGTATGTACAGTTATATATATGTATATCTCCATTTTTTTATTCGAGATTCTTATTGCATGCTCCCCTATAATTTTTTTTAGAGTGATAATTGTAACAAAGTTTGTATAATTTTCTATGTTTTATCCACATTATATGACTTTTTTTATTGGCTTACATACTAGACTAACATGTCTATTTCTGTTACATCGAGAGGTTTTAACATGCTGTTACACAAAGTAAAATTAACCAGATTTTGTAAACAATCACACATACGGAAACCTTTCTCTCCATTACTTATATCAATTTGGTCAAAAATGTAGATGCATTCAAATTTCAAAATACAAAGTAAGCTAGCTATATTTGCACAATATTTTTTTTGCATATAACATTGACGAAATTACAAAAAGTAACATTTTGTCTTTCATACTACTTGACAAATGTCATATCTTGGCCTGGCAGGCATACCTTTTAAACCACTGCATCACACACATGTTAAAGGGAGACAACCCAATATGAGTATCTCTTATTTGTCTCTAGAGGGAAGATAGTTTGAGATACAGGTTATTTGTTTGTAAGGGGAAGCAGCCCTATACATGTACAGATGACGACTCGCTTTCATTGTTACTTGTCTGTTAAGGGGAGGTAATCCCCTATTAGTTGTCTGTAAAAGGGAGACAATCCCAAATATAACACTAGTTAAGAAATATTTGGAGAAGGGCATTTACAATGATAATGAAGGATCAGTAAACCAGTTACTAGTTGTGAAGGAGTAGAGGCATCCCATTAACATTATCCTGTATCTCTTATATACTTTAATATAGAGTACATTTTATGAAACACACATTATGCAGTTTCTTATGGTAAGCTTTGGAGTATTGTATATGTCTAGATGACTAATAATTAGTTATTTCAACCATGTTTTATCTAATTACAAAGTTGATACTCCTGCCTATATATAGACTACTGCTATTCACGTACACATGTCACACCACTGTGAGTTCCTTATATGTCTGGATTAACATCAGTAGTTTCCCAAATAATGTACCAAATATATTAAGGTATTGTATGTATTCTGTATTATATCATTATAACTTGTGAATATAAGCCTCCTGGTCAGAATATTTTTGGGAAAAGCTGTTTTAATTGTTTACTGGTCTAGACTTTGTATCTAACATCAACTCAAGTTGTTATATCACCACTACGTCCTGTGAAATGCTTAGTTCACTAAAAATGTGTTCCAATTTGGAGCGAACTAAAAATGTGTTCCAATTCGGAGCGAACTAAAAATGTGTTCCAATTCGGATTCTTCTATTTTTGACATAAATTACCTAAAATGGTCCAGCCACTTCTTAACAGGAGTCTGTGGTGAAAAATACTTCAAAGAAGATATGATATATAATTTTAGGCCTGGAAAAGCAACGTTTACTCCCACAGGAGAAGACTGTTAGGTCCCAGCCCCATTACCTAACAATTTTGTTGTAACCAAACAAATGCCACCAATCACTTGTTAAATGTTCTCAATCTCGTGTTGTGTGGCCAACAGCATCCTACGCATAACTGTAGGGGAACTGCTACACCAGGTCCCACAGTGTTGTACACACAATGGCAGGAATATTTCTATGACACAACTACAATCTAAAGACTCGAACACACTGTGGTAGGGAAGCTGATAACACCTAAGTTCCTGAGCCTTGAAAAAACATAATGGTAGTGATGCTGCTATAGTTATAGGTCTCACAGTCTTTTCCACACAATGGTAGGGAAACTGCTATACACTCATTGAGGAACTTTTATCCAAGTCCCAAAGTCCGAACATTGGTAGGGAAGCTGCTATAATCTGTTTAGCTAGGTTCCACAGCTTTATCCATACAATGGTAGGGAAGCTGCTATATCATTGTTTAGCTAGGTTCCACAGCTTTATTCATACAATGGTAGGGAAGCTGCTATACTATTGTTTAGCTAGGTTCCACAGCTTTATCCATACAATGGTAGGGAAGCTGCTATACACTGTAGTTGGTATGACTTAGTAACTGTTGTTCTGTTTAAGTCTCATGAGCAGAAGCCTTGTACGTAGAGTGGTAGGCATTCCTCAGCAAGGCATAGGGGAAGCATGACTCTAGTAAGTCCATAGTCAGGTAGGGGGACTCCTGTACGATCTGAAACAGTAACAACACATCAACCATTACTTTAGTGGTGAGCTTCACACAATGTATTATGGTGAAAAGTACACATGAAATTGGTTTTAATGTAACTTCAAATCTCAAGTTTTACGAGGACAACACATTCTCTATAATCTGAATTAATCTAACCCTTTCATTTTCTAAGCAACAGTAATATTTTAGTGATATAGATGTTAACCCTTTCACCCCTATGTAACTTTAGTAGACTCTACCATGCATTGATATGGATGAGTCCATTATGGTTTACAGTGGTGAAAGGGTTAAGGCATATGGCAATATGTACTAATGGACAGACTATTCAGGTCAAACATTAAAAGTATTGGTCATTACGATATACCCATGTATACTACAATAGCATACCTCGTCCAGCAGCAGGTAGACAGACTCTCTGTTACGAATCATCTCCTTCTCGCTCTCCTGTCCAAGTCTGAGCAAACTGGAGGATGCAAGCTGTGGATATAGAAATTATAATGTAAACCACATTGAAACTGAACAAGTGTGGATCTGCTAATATGTAGGAACTATTAAGATATCACTGAGCAATACTACGCAGGTAGTCTCTCGACTAGTTGATTTAACCTGAAGAAGTACAGATTTTGGGGTTAGGACACACTTAGATATAAACAGAGACAATTTTTTGACCTACCCCAGTAATATCTCGACTAAATGATTTAACCTGAAGAAGTACAGGTTTTGGAGTTAGGACACACTTAGATGTGAACAGAGACATTTTTTTTTTTTACCTGAAAAGCAATTCTAAGCATAAAAGCCTTTTATGAAGTTTGATATTGAGAACTGCAGTAGACTTACAGCTAAGAACTCCTGGAGGCGGTCGGCCACATCCCCCGGTCCATGGATAGAGAAGAGAGCCCCAGCCAGCTGGTTGATGGTTTTGGCGAGACAGTGGGTATTGTTCACATGTCCTGTTTCACAGTAAGACACAAAGATAAAGCCTACTTTGTTACATTACTCAACATATTTCTCTTTTGACACATTTTTTTTAAGTAGTCCAATTTCATAAATCAATAATGATTAGAATTTATTCAATATCATAATGAATAGCTCAACTTTTTAAAAATATTGAAATAGCTTTATCTTACATCCCATGCAAGGGATCGTGCTCTAGGAGTACTTTCAGTAGACTATATAGGGAGAAGTGTACATTAACCATTTCACCCCTATGTAACTTTAGTAGACTCTACCGTGCATTGATCTGGATGAGTCCATTATGGTCTACAGTGGTGAAAGGGTTAACTATCACATGACTTACCTTCCAAGGAGGCCTTGAACACGGACGTTTCCAGGCGGGCCAGCTTGGGGATGGACACAGCGATGAAGACCATCAATAAACACACAACCTCATACTCACTCTCCTTGTGTTCTACAGAATACAGTACAGTCACATGTTAGTAGTAATACACACAATTCTATTATCTCTTTCCTTTAATTCTACAAAACATCCTTTCAACATCTCAATAGTTTTAAAAACAGAAAACAAACATAGCATATCTCATTATTGGTCATACCTCAATTATAATTCTATATTTGTCAACATTTTTTTTTGAGACTGGCACCAGATATAAATAGCCTTGAGTTTATTCCATTGGAAGTTGCTTTTATTTTTTGAGATAGTGTACAATCCCTACAACTTTTTAGAAATCCTACCAGATTATAATATGCTTTGTCAATCTCCCCACAAAAACTATCATCTAAAAAAAGTAGAACAAAAAAATGCCTGAAAGTTTTTAGAAGTCAACATCTAATGAACTTATTTCAATAGTTACTTTATTCAAATTTCACTTTATCAATTCTTCGTTTTTTTAGAAATAAACATTTAACTGTCATATACTCAGAGCTGCTTTAATAATTGAAAAAGGAGTTTAATGAGGTGGCATAAAAGTGGCATAATAGTGTATCAGGCCGTCATCATTCAACATTCATCATACAATACACATTATATACATATTTCATACAGTAACAGTAAATATATCAACACTACATACTAAATATGTCAACGATACATACTAAACTAGATGTAGCACTGAGCAAATTCAATAAAACACTGCTATATGTTTCTCTATTGAATTTAAAGGAAAATACAAAAACTTTCTTCAGCATTCATTGGTGAGAAGGCACATGTCCAAACAATGTAGTTGAAAAGATACAGAAATGAGACAGAATATTCCTTTTCCTGTTGAGTTAAGTGGATGTACCAGTAATTTAGGTTAATTATAGTTCATGCTTTTGTTTTTATATCTGTGACTGTCAGTATAATTACAGTGAAATAAGTAATCCTGTCTTAGGCTATATTATACCAGACTGTAATTACAATGTAATAGGAGTTCATGCCTTAATGTCTGACTGTATGATTACATTGTAATAGTTCATGTCTTTATGTCTGACTATATGATTACATAATGTAATATTTCATGTCTTTATGTCTGATTGTATGATTACATTGTAATAGTTCATGTCTTCATGTCTGACTGTATGATTACATTGTAATAATTCATGTCTTTATGTCTGACTGTATGATTACATTGTAATAGTTCATGTCTTTTTGTCTAACTGTATGATTACATTGTAATAGTTCATGTCTTTATGTCTGACTGTATGATTACATAATGTAATATTTCATGTCTTTATGTCTGATTGTATGATTACATTGTAATAGTTCATGTCTTTATGTCTGACTGTATGATTACATTGTAATAGGAGTTCATGTATTCATGTCTGACTGTATGATTACATTGTAATAGGAGTTCATGTCTTCATGTCTGATTGTATGATTACATTGTAATAGTTCATGTCTTCATGTCTGACTGTATGATTACATTGTAATAGGAGTTCATGTCTTTATGTCTGACTGTATGATTACATTGTAATAGTTCATCATGTCTTTGACGTTTTATATCTGACAGTATACTTACAGTGAAATTAGTGTTCATGTCTCTCACTATTTTTAAACTAGACTGTAATTATATTTACAGTACAACAGGGGTTCATGCCTTCATATCTGACTGTATGATTATATTGTCACAGGAGTTCATGCCTTGTTGTCTACAGTAGCAGTACAAACATGCTGCTCATGAGGTATTTCATACACTGCATGCCTGACTGAGCTGTGTGTATGATTGCTAAATCTGACTAGTCTGGGATGTACCGAGGGGTTTACCTTCAGAGATGTCGTCTGTCGAGTCCGACAAATTGAGTTGCCCTATCAGAAAAATCACACACTTTACATGTACATGTTTAACTATAAATGATGAAAGTTTAGCTCAGTGTTTTTATATAGCCAGACTACTCTGGGTTATAAGAATGTGACCCAGTTTTATCAAATATATATGACATACAGATCAAACATTCCTATGATCATGTTCATTGATGAAATAAAATGGTGAATTAACTTCACTCCTTGATATAGGACGGACTAATTCATGTAAAGATGATTGCCCTTTCATTCTTCCTCCATTAGTGTATGACGATGGACAATCACCATCCAACCTATGTTTATAGAGTTAAATAGTTACCACTCTTCATCTGTCGGAGGGCATTGATGAGGGTGGGATCCACGTTACAGGGTAGACCCCCAGCAGAGGCCATCTCGTTAACCACCTGTAATAACACACACAGTACAGATGAACTTCGTGCATAATTTCATATCCTGTCATAAACCCTTTCACCACTGTACACCATAATGGACTCATCCAGATCAATGTATGGTAGAGTCTACTTAAGTTACCTAGGGGTGAAAGGGTTAATGAAGAATGTTTAAACTAAGCAAAATGTTATACCAGTCATCAAAAAATTGGACACGAGGTTCAGCAGTTGTTTTTCTATGGTGAGTTTAATATTATTGTCAATAGTTTCTCCTAAATACAGTATAATGGGAAATTTTCGCCCAGTCAAACTTTTGCCCTACGTAGGTAAAATCTATTTTTCATCTAAATTACGTTTGCCGTTTACATTTTATAACTACGTTTTCATGTTGTCTACTAACGTTTGCTGTATCAATAAATTCACCCGCAATGCAGAGGGCAATAAAGGTGAAAGTTTGTCTGTGGTGAAAGTTTCCCGGTATACAGTAACACTGTGAATTCTGTCTTAAAACAAAGAGATTGTATACTAAATATAAACAAATTAAAAATATTGTCGCAAACATAAATTAACCAATTTCAGTTCTTATTTAAACCTTCCAATAATTAGTACTCCCGACACGCAGACGCTTACTGTCACCAACAACAGAAGGGGCAGCAAGCAACTACGGGCTGATACATACAAAAACTCAACTATATATACAGTAAAACCCAATCCTCAAACTCCAATACCCCTCATTTGTCGAACAGTTTGTTTGGTCCCGACCGAGTTTGATCAAATGTATTTGGGTTTGTATTGCAGAACATTCTACATAGACAACTGCGTCCTCGATATCCAGGGGTCACGCCCACTTTCACTCTCTACACCCCTGGAATATGTCATAGCAAAATCGAAGGCTCAATGTGCAGCACCTTGTGGATGAGACGAGAAGACGAGTTTGGTCCTTTGATGTACATCAAACGAATCTCGCGGTCACATAGTAATGCTCACTTTCACTCTCTACACCCCTGGAATATGTCATAGCAAAATCGAAGGCTCAATGTGCAGCACCTTGTGGATGAGATGAGAAGACTATAGTTTGGTCCTTTGATGTACATCAAACGAATCTCGGGGTCACCTAACAGTAAAAAATGACAGGCTTTGAAGTGGGGCCTCGCTCCTTTGGAATCTTCAAAGGACAAGTACCAGCCTAGTGATTAGTCATTTTTTTTTACCTGACACCAATCAAATAGCTAGCCATGTGCCTTCATTTTTGCTATGACATATTCCAATGTTTAGAGAGCGAAAGTGAGCGTAACCCCTGGATATCGAGGATGAGACAACTGATTTCAAAGACAAATTTTCTTAAATTAGATTAAATTATCAGAAGCATAGTTTAAGCAGAATAATAGTTTTGCTGCTGTGTGAGAGATATCAGGCAGAGTAGATCTTCTGGTAAACACTGGTACAGTATACAGAAATTACACGCATGTTACAATCACATCTTGACACAGAATTTATAAAATTGGATTTATTTTTCAAGAAAATGTAACAAGCATATGTGCAGCAGAAGGCAATATCAGCACTTCATTGGTTGTCTGAGGAAATCGAAAAAAAACCTCTACTCATACCAATTAACTACACTATATTTCAAAGAGATCTAAAAAGGTTATTGGAGGAAATACAATCATCTTGAAAAGAGTTTGAGTGAGAAGGAATAATTGCAAATTAGTGGGAGTAACAAAAAGGTTTGAGAAAATCATTTTAGAACATACATAAATGAAAAATCTACACACATACTAACAACCCTGCATGCTTTGATCGAAATATATTTCAAGTAAAACAATAGATTATTAAACAACATGCGTATTATTAAGTAGGTCTAAGATCTAATACATAATTAAATGTCTATTACGTTAATTCTAACAGATGTGACAGATATTAACGTCCAGTAGTTGTGAACAACATCAACGAGTTGAGTTATACATGTAGCATGGTTCTGCTGCCTTTCTAGTAGCTCCTGTAGCACTTAATATTTGAGTTTTTACTTTGTAATTCAGAACACAGCACATGTGAGACAAAAACACAAAACTGTTGAATGATTTTTACTGTTTTCTTCATTTTGTCAACAATCACGGTCGTACAAAGTTTGTTAATTAAGAGGTCTTACAGGATCTTATCAAGAGATATTATTCATATAGGGATTGAACGGCGTTTTTAAAAATGCTGTTCAACCCATATATTTACATTTTTATTAATGAACAATTGTTTAATTTAATTTATTTATTCTTAAATAGTTCCTTTATTTATTGTGTTTTGTACATGCATCGTCCTTTAAACGACATTTGCAGAACAGCCCTATTTATATAAAATTGGCGCCAATATGTAACCGTTGTCATTTGAGCGTTTGACGCAGGGGCATTCTCCATGTTAGCCGAAGCAAAGCAACAAGACTCTTATTGAACAAAGTTAATCTATGACGTCATAAGTAAACCACGTGTTACGTAACGAGAGTTTTTGCTTTCATACTCAAATGAAATGCATTTCTGCTGGTAATGTTCATAAAATGGGTTGCAGCGCAAATGTAAACATAGAAAAGTCATAAAAGCTTTTATCAATGATAAATTTCTCTTCTGTACTACACCCTGGTTCTTATTCTCTCAAATATTCTTTTGTATACTCTGCATGGTCACAGACGTAATAACAGGTTTTCCTCATGCACAGAGATCAAGTAATTATCCAAGCAAGAAAAAATGTTTAATGCTCACAATGTTATACAGTTTTACCCTTATTTCGTATTATCATAGCTGGTAGCTGTATTTGCTGCCCCTAACTACATATAACAAGTATTTGATAGAAGAATTCAGAGCCAGCTGTCAAAATGCTCAATAAAGCAGCAAAAAAAATGTTGCTGAAACAGATGATAGGGAGGGCAGCAGCTATAAAAGGTCCGATGATCAATGGCTGTAAAAACTGAAGAGCTCTAGGAAGGCAGATAACTCAGTCACTAACAACATTTAGGCAACAGTATTCACACAACATGACCTCACTTCCTGGTATCCCCACCTCCCACAGGCAATTGCTGGTTTACACACAGTGGGAAAAGAGCTCATCTTATGTAACACAGAACCTTTTTGGTCAACTTTAAAAAAAATATCTTTCTTTTTTTACCTTGCAAATAATTTTAACATTATTGTTTTTAGTTTAGAAATTGAATTTTCAAATACTTTTTTGACAGAAATAGTTTTTATTTCATCAGTAAGGAAGAAAAGATGTGACCAAGTGGAAGTGTGGGAAGTGTGACACAAGAAAATGGCGACAATACGGAGGACAAACCTGCTGTTTCATTGAAGAATACTGTCACATGGAGGAAAAACAGATATAAACATGACTGTGTTGTAGAAACTGTAGACATATATGAACATATGCTAGTGTCTCGTAACTACCAGATATAACGCTTCTTACGATAGCGTAACACTTCTTACAATAGCGTAACACTTCTTATGATAGCGTAACACTTCTTACGATAGCGTAACACTTCTTACAACAGAATAGTACACTTATCTAACACTTCTAATGATAGCGTAACTCTTCTTAAGACTGAATAGTACACTTATCTAACACTTCTTACGACAGAATAGTACACTTATCTAACACTTCTAATGATAGCGTAACACTTCTTAAGATAGAATAGTACACTTATCTAACTCTTCTAATGATAGCGTAACACTTCTTAAGATAGAATAGTACACTTATCTAACTCTTCTAATGATAGCGTAACACTTCTTACAATAGCGTAACACTTCTTATGATAGCGTAACCCTTCTTACGATAGCGTAACACTTCTTACAACAGAATAGTACACTTATCTAACAATTCTGATGATAGCGTAACACTTCTTACAACAGAATAGTACACTTATCCAACACTTCTAATGATAGCGTAACACTTCTTAAGACAGAATAGTACACTTATCTAACACTTCTAATGATAGCGTAACACTTCTTACAACAGAATAGTACACTTATCTAACACTTCTAATGATAGCGTAACACTTCTTAAGACAGAATAGTACACTTATCTAACACTTCTAATGATAGCGTAACACTTCTTAAGACAGAATAGTACACTTATCTAACACTTCTAATGATAGCGTAACACTTCTTAAGACAGAATAGTACACTTATCTAACACTTCTAATGATAGCGTAACACTTCTTAAGACAGAATAGTACACTTATCTAACACTTCTAATGATAGCGTAACACTTCTTAAGACAGAATAGTACACTTATCTAACACTTCTAATGATAGCGTAACACTTCTTAAGACAGAATAGTACACTTATCTAACACTTCTAATGATAGCGTAACACTTCTTAAGACAGAATAGTACACTTATCTAACACTTCTAATGATAGCGTAACACTTCTTAAGACAGAATAGTACACTTATCTAACACTTCTAATGATAGCGTAACACTTCTTAAGACAGAATAGTACACTTATCTAACACTTCTAATGATAGCGTAACACTTCTTAAGACAGAATAGTACACTTATCTAACACTTCTAATGATAGCGTAACACTTCTTAAGACAGAATAGTACACTTATCTAACACTTCTAATGATAGCGTAACACTTCTTAAGACAGAATAGTACACTTATCTAACACTTCTAATGATAGCGTAACACTTCTTAAGACAGAATAGTACACTTATCTAACACTTCTAATGATAGCGTAACACTTCTTAAGACAGAATAGTACACTTATCTAACACTTCTAATGATAGCGTAACACTTCTTAAGACAGAATAGTACACTTATCTAACACTTCTAATGATAGCGTAACACTTCTTAAGACAGAATAGTACACTTATCTAACACTTCTAATGATAGCGTAACACTTCTTACGACAGAATAGTACACTTATCTAACACTTCTAATGATAGCGTAACACTTCTTAAGACAGAATAGTACACTTATCTAACACTTCTAATGATAGCGTAACACTTCTTAAGACAGAATAGTACACTTATCTAACACTTCTAATGATAGCGTAACACTTCTTACGACAGAATAGTACACTTATCTAACACTTCTAATGATAGCGTAACACTTCTTAAGACAGAATAGTACACTTATCTAACACTTCTAATGATAGCGTAACACTTCTTACGACAGAATAGTACACTTATCTAACACTTCTAATGATAGCGTAACACTTCTTAAGACAGAATAGTACACTTATCTAACACTTCTAATGATAGCGTAACACTTCTTAAGACAGAATAGTACACTTATCTAACACTTCTAATGATAGCGTAACACTTCTTAAGACAGAATAGTACACTTATCTAACACTTCTAATGATAGCGTAACACTTCTTAAGACAGAATAGTACACTTATCTAACACTTCTAATGATAGCGTAACACTTCTTAAGACAGAATAGTACACTTATCTAACACTTCTAATGATAGCGTAACACTTCTTAAGACAGAATAGTACACTTATCTAACACTTCTAATGATAGCGTAACACTTCTTAAGACAGAATAGTACACTTATCTAACACTTCTAATGATAGCGTAACACTTCTTAAGACAGAATAGTACACTTATCTAACACTTCTAATGATAGCGTAACACTTCTTAAGACAGAATAGTACACTTATCTAACACTTCTAATGATAGCGTAACACTTCTTAAGACAGAATAGTACACTTATCTAACACTTCTAATGATAGCGTAACACTTCTTAAGACAGAATAGTACACTTATCTAACACTTCTAATGATAGCGTAACACTTCTTAAGACAGAATAGTACACTTATCTAACACTTCTAATGATAGCGTAACACTTCTTAAGACAGAATAGTACACTTATCTAACACTTCTAATGATAGCGTAACACTTCTTAAGACAGAATAGTACACTTATCTAACACTTCTAATGATAGCGTAACACTTCTTAAGACAGAATAGTACACTTATCTAACACTTCTAATGATAGCGTAACACTTCTTAAGACAGAATAGTACACTTATCTAACACTTCTAATGATAGCGTAACACTTCTTAAGACAGAATAGTACACTTATCTAACACTTCTAATGATAGCGTAACACTTCTTAAGACAGAATAGTACACTTATCTAACACTTCTAATGATAGCGTAACACTTCTTAAGACAGAATAGTACACTTATCTAACACTTCTAATGATAGCGTAACACTTCTTAAGACAGAATAGTACACTTATCTAACACTTCTAATGATAGCGTAACACTTCTTAAGACAGAATAGTACACTTACCTAACACTTCTAATGATAGCGTAACACTTCTTAAGACAGAATAGTACACTTACCTAACACTTCTAATGATAGCATAACGCTTCTTACAACAGAATAGTACACTTACCTAACACTTCTAATGATAGCGTAACACTTCTTACAACAGAATAGTACACTTATCTAACACTTCTAATGATAGCATAACACTTCTTACAACAGAATAGTACACTTATCTAACACTTCTAATGATAGCATTGTAAACTGATCTATCACTGATTATCAATTACATTTCAAGATTTCTTGCCGCTGATCTTGTCATCATATCCTGTCAACCCTTCCCCTTACCTATCAATGACCTTGACCATTACAAAATTGACCTCACCTTGTCACCTTTCAGTTGCAATCTGTGATATTTCATTATGCCAGGTGGCATTTGAGAATTGTAAGAGTCTTATCTGTAGCGTTATTATGCATTTAAGCTTATATATGAAATCTAGTCATGACTTAAAGTTGAGATTTTCGATTTGTTTCCAATAAATAAATCAGAGTAAAAGTGAACCTTTTACATAGTATTAATCTTTAAGAAAAATTAAGATGATGAAATATAATGTAAAAAAGCTATCAGTAAAATAGCTGACATATTGTTTATTAACTCATTCACCCCTGAAATTTTGCAATGCACTGTTCCAATCTTTGAATTGGAAGAGTTCAAATGTGTGTTCAGGGGTGAATGAGTATTGCTGGTACCAAAGTGAACAGGAATCAAAAGGTTATCCTGTTACAGGTTTCCTGTAATAGTTTATATCTCAAACTTAACTGTGACATATAATCTTATTGTAAGCCAACAGAAACTGTGATGTGTTTTTTTATTAACCCTTTCACCACTGTAGACCATAATGGACTCGTCCAGATCAATGTATGGTAGAGTCTACTAAAGTTACCTAGGGGTGAACGGGTTAAAGATGCTTGATTATAAGTGGCAACTGGAGATCAATTTTGCTGTAGCAGCCATAACATACATGTTTGTTTACATGTCCGTGTCCGGACAGTACCGTCATGACCAGTAATGTGTAAGGCTAGCACTTCATCAACATATTGCACCATTCGTTAACATTTGATCTTGTTTACCTTGTCTAATACGATTTAAGACACACAAAAAGATATTGATTGGTGAAACCTATGTGCTGACAATGCAAAACTTCAAACAAAACTACAGATATCTAAATAAATGTTTAAAACATTGTAACTTACTGAAATGAAAACAATTAACAGTTGAGAAATGACATTCTAAATTTCTCAAAACTCATGTAATTAACATCTTGGTGAACATAAAACAAGCTGTGTTAAAGTAGTGAAGTTTTATACAGTACATTATTAAACTCATTAAGTTTTACACCTTTCTTTATAGTCTACAAACATCATTTGGTAAAGAAAGTGTGTTTCAACACTGTACAATTCTTTCTTAATAATGAATACTAGCAATTCACATCCAGGCCACTGAAGCAACATGCTTGGGCATTCAGTCCAATAACATTGTATGTCTGTCTACACCATTAGGCTCCTTAACCCTGTCATCACTGTAGACCATAATGGACTCATCCAGATCAAAGCAAGGTAGAGTCTACTAAAGTTGCATAGGGGTGTAAGGGTTAAGAATGTCCCTTATCGTTTCATATTCTGGTCATCAATGGCTACTGACCAGTCTTGCTGTCAGGTGTCAAGTCAATCCACTATCATCATGACCTGGAAGCATTACTCTATACATGTGTGTGCTAATTAACATAGTCACAAAATAACACACAGATGGTTTAATTTGTGTGGTCTAGATAGGATTTTACATACAAGCTAACTAAACAGGTAAAAAAACGTTTACCAAAAATTTCAAAATTTCAAATTATTTGTAAAAGTACACATACTTAGTTATGACACTAATTATTTTTTCTGTATATGTTTATCAACCAAAATCCATGACATGCTACCTTATCTTAGATATTATATCAGATTCAAACTTTAACATATTGGTAATTATGCTAAATGAAGGTGAAATAATACTTCATATGATGGTATATAATGTAGATACAATGTATATGATATACTGTAGCCACTTACATAGGAATGTAATGCACTAATCTGTGAGGACAACAATATTAAGAACTTAAACATTATCATCACTTCCTTTCTCTTCAATACTTATAATAGACATGTTAAAATATCATTACTTTTGCAACCTTTAGGAATGTCTTAAACAAAAAGGTACCTTGATTTGCCCAATTTTGAAATTTTAATCTTTGCAAATTCATCAACCTCAGATCAACTATTAACAATAAATCCTTTCATACAAATATATACCTGTCTATGATATCTAACATATACATCTATGTCTAAATACAATTCTAACAAGAGGTATAATGAGCCTGTAGGTTTGTTGATTTCGCATGAAATATGGAATACTGTCACTTCTTGGTCGGAAGAATAATTTTAAGGTTAAATGTCTGGAACTACCTATGTTAACCTTTGAGCCGTATGTGACGGTCTACATCCCAACAGGCACATACTCACTTACAAAATCTGACATATACCCTGTTCTATGTCTATGAAAGTGAATAAAGGGCCACAACTCTGTATATAATGGGGCAGGAAACAGGATTTCAATATGCAACACTCCATTGTCCAAGGAGGTACTTACATAAGATATTAGGTAATTGCAGGTGCCAGAAAGAGATATATGTCCTGCACAAAGTGACACAGACAGACTGACGGAAGGACAAACGGAAGAATGAATGGATTGCAGACCTGTAGACCAGTCTGGTAGTAACAGTGGGGAACAAATAACCATTTTTTAGAGGTGATTCATGTTTCTCCTGCCTAACACAGTCAAGTGTGTGCCCAAGCTGTCTACTCTACTGCCAGTCTAACAAGCACATGTAACATGCCCGGTTCTCTCGAAGTTCACATCCTCCACACAAAATAAAATTACTTCATACATATTCTCACACCCTTCTGCCATCCTGTGTTTCATACGTATTATTCTCAAAACCAATTTGTGTTATATTTCAATTCAACCTCATGAAGACGGTATGATTTAAATGAGCTGAAATTCTCTAAATATAAGATCCATACACTATAGTTCATTGTTGTTAGCTATTAACATGTAACCATGGTAACGAGTAGCACTGAACTTACCTTCGAGTCTTTGGTGTTGGGGACAAAATGTTGAAGGTCCTTGACGGATGCCATTAGAAATGGAATGCGATCCTCTAACACCTGCATATGTATAAAGAGAACCCTATTCAAACGAAACACTCAAGGCATCATTTTAAACCAAATGGTGCATGAATTTGAATCATTCTGCTAGACAGAATACCATATTCTGACCAAACATTGCCAAATCATTTCATCAGGAATAAATAGATTTTTGGATGACAGAAATTTAAAAATTTACACCAGAGAACAACTTACCAAAGATTTGTGTTCAGACCTAATATTTAAAATTGAAGGTAGTCAATGTGTGGGTACGCTTACATTTATGATGACCAATGTCCGTTACATCCTAGGTCATGACATTTGACTCGTTTACTTTCAGTAAATGTATTTAAAGTTGAAAGTACACATGTATGACCTATTTAACAGTACACAAAATTTGATTGGTCCATCCCGTAGGTTCATACATAAGTTTGTTTTCTCTTAAGTTCAAAGGTCATCCTTTTAATCTGTTGCATGAAAACATCTGTACAGACTCAAAACCTAAGGTCAACCAGTTTGAACTGTGACCCCTTAAACCATGCGACCTTATACATACAGCAAGTAGGGCTTCTTGGGCGAGGGAGCGGAAAGACAGCAGTACACCTATCATAGTCATCCGCATCAGTACACTGTCAGCATCTGTAACAAGGGCACATAACTCTAGTATACAAGAATAGTAATACAGGTTATTAAAGAAACTGAATAACACAACAAAATTTACAGAGATGAGTGATGACACAATAAAATTTACAGAGATGAGTGATGACACAATAAGTTTTTTAATGTTATTCAAAAGGAAATCAACTTAAAGGAGGTATTTATTTTTCTTAGTTTACATTAAAAATTAATTGTCCTGAGCTTTAACTTTGGTTTGTAATAAAACATTCCAACAGGATTTTAATGCTAAAAACTTTGTTCAATCAAATCGTTCAATTTAAAAACAAAATAAATCTGCTTTCTTGCCATCAGAACATGTTGAATGTCACATGTATAAAGGTGAAGTTGTCGATATCAGTAGTTTGGAAAATATCTCCAATGTATCATCTGATGCTTTTAATAGGTTGATAAAAGGGTATTACATCTGTGTAGAGATCATCTAGTGTTTGGGCATTCTCATAAATATTTTACACATGCTTCATTTTCTTGGGGAAAACTTTTTGTATACATGCCACACAAAATAATTAAATATATAGTTGATGGATCACAGCATGCTGGGTTTGGAAGCTTCAACTAAAAGGTTTTCTTTCTTTTCAGAGAAAAACAATTGACCATAGAAGACAGTTGTACCTAGCGAATACAGTATACAGATATTAACGGTAAAACCATATTGTGAATGATAAATTCTGGAAAAAACTTCTATAATAAAGATTGATTTTCAAGTGTCTATTCGTTAAAATTGTTACTTCAAGCTAAAGTAACTTTAATATATTAAAGAAATATTGCTAAAATGAAAATACGTTCATATTTTCAATAGTCTATGAAGTTTTTAGAGTGTTGTGGTTGTCTGGTCACCGGCTACAGACAGGGGTAAAACAGGAAGTGACATCACAAGGCATGCACGAGGAAACAGACACCAGTCAGATCAAGTCTACTACCTTAATGACACACCAATTTGTCAAATCTAAAACAAGCAACTTGTTCTTTTTTAAATGATTATGAAAATTTCACAGAATCAATGTTTTGTCTTTATGTGTCATTAAGTAATTCAATGGTGCAGGAAAGTAGACCCCACAATGTTTTTCAAGAATATCTATATTTGAATGTCAGAATTGGAATATCAATATTTGGGATGAAGTGAGACAGTTATTAGTCTCTGTATCAGCCACAACTGAATAAACCATACGACTATGAAATCAAATGATACATTACTTATATATCAACAAGGATGTGATTACTTGTTAGATTAGAGTCAACATAGCATTTAAGGAGTTGATTGACAAGTCTTTTTCAAGCAAATCAAGCGCCATAACTCTTTTAATATCGATAACAAAAATATATGATCAGTCAATTAGGTCACACATGCAATTGCTCTTGTGACAGATGTATGCAAATATCTATTAAAATCATTGCATAACTGGAAAACCAGTGCAAACAAAATTCTTTCTACAGACAGACAGATGTCCTACGATTTTCACACTGAAACTAAAATCTGATGTAAAAACAAACGAAGAATTGCTTGGAACAGCCAATTAATCGAGGGCATATTAGTAAAGAATCTAGGAATTATATAGCGTGAGGTCTGCTTTTGAAGTCACTGTATCTTAATAATGAAATTGCAGATATAATGCTCCTGTGTAAACATATTTTGATCCATGATTCTAATGACTACAGTTTATTACATTTTTGCCAGAGAAATATTGGATTCTATCATCTTGATAAAACTGATATTTTTCACACTGTGACTAATATCAAAAGTATCACTTTTTGGTATTGACCAATCATAACAGTATCTTCTATTCGCTGCATTCAAAGGCAACTATTTTTTGTTCAGATTCAAATAAAGCGACACTAGAATAAGTGGTTGCTATGGTAAATGTGTGGTACACACACTTAAGTATTTACATAAATATACAATTAATAACATTTATATAAGCGATCAATTCAAAGAAAATAGCAGAAAAAGTCGAAATTGCACTGAGTTATCCCATTCAAAATGGTGCACAGCCTTGTTGTCAAGCGTGACGTTATTAGAATATGCTGCGCACTCGTGAAAAATATCAAAATATTAGCCACACTCGTGAAATATATTTGTTATTACAGAAGGCACTGTTAAATATCTTATCCTCTAATCCTTTTTGTCTAGCCCTTCCCTCCAACATTTCACTGGTTGCTATTTTGACTTTATTGTACTTTAAAAGGTACAAAACAGAGTTAATGCAGCACTAATCAGAAATCACACACCAGTCCCTTACCATCATCTTACCATCATCGAATCAAAACAGTGAAAACTTAGTACATGTACATGTATTTTCTCACCAACAAGACTACACGCAGGTACAGATTTGCTTTTAGTTTTTCCTCCATGAAATAGCGTACAAAGACTGTCCACTTATGATGGAGCCACTCCTGACCAAGTGGTCAATTCAATGTGACACATCACTTAGTTGTCATAGCCTGGTCAATGTAGTATGATAGCCCACACTGTCACATTATTCAGACAACTGGCTAAGCACAGGTGCCAAGAGACAAAATGTCAAAATACAATGTAGGACAGAATTCTTGAGAGGTGCAAGACAGATAAATAACCAGCTATAGTACCATATGTATGTCATAATTAAGTCAGTTTCCATAGTAACTAGCTATTGTACGATGTGTAAGAGGCTAAATGTATATCATAATTAAGTCAGTTTCCATGGTAACCAGCTATAGTACCATGTGTAAGTGGCTATATGTATATCATAATTAAGTAAGTGTCCATGGTAACCAGCTATATAGTACGGTTTGTAAGTTGCTATATGTATATCATAATTAAGTAAGTTTCCATGGTAACCAGCTATATAGTACGGTTTGTAAGTTGCTATATGTATATCATAATTAAGTAAGTTTCCATGGTAACCAGCTATAGTACCGTTTGTAAGTGGCTATGTGTATGTCATAATAAAGTCAGTTTCCATAGTAACTAGCTATTTTACGATGTGTAAGAGGCTAAATGTATATCATAATAAAGAGTTTCCATAGTAACCAGCTATTGTACCATATGTAAGTGGTTATATGTATATCATAATAAAGTCAGTTTCCATAGTAACCAGCTATTGTACCGTGTGTAAGTGGCTATATGCACAGTAAATATTCAGTTTCTGAGGTAACTAGCTACAGTACCGTGCATAAGAGGAATATGTACAATATACAGTCAGTTTCCATAGTAACCAGCTATAGTACCATGCATAAGAGGATTATGTACAGTATATAGTCAGTTTCCATAGTAACCAGCTATAGTACCATGCATAAGAGAATTATGTACAGTATATAGTCAGTTTCCATAGTAACCAGCTATTGTACCATATGTAAGTGGTTATATGTATATCATAATAAAGTCAGTTTCCATAATAACCAGCTATAGTACCATACGTAAAAGGATATATGTACAGTATATAGTCAGTTTCCAAGGTTAACAAGATAAGTACTAACATGTATAAGAATTATGCTAATATGTATTATATATAAAGTCTGTTTCCATAGTAACCAGCTTTGATTTCAGGTGTAAGAGACTATGTGTATATCATTTATTCAGTTTCCAAGGTAGCAAGCTATAGAACTACCATTTGTACTATATAGTCTGTTTCCATAGTAACCGTATGCAGTATCAGGTGTAAAAAGCTGTATGTATAACGTATCCAGTCAGTTCCACACTTCCATATTTGGTAACTGAGTGATCACGTGATTTGACACAGTCTTGTAAGTGGTCAGTGCACTGCCAAGTCTTTGAAGTGAGTGGACGTTAGTTGGAGTATATACCACGTGTAAGAAGCTATATACATATACATAACATATAAAGTCAGTTTCGAAGGTAACCAGTTATGATATGAGGTGAAGGAAGCTATATGTATTACATAAAGTTGTAGTAGTAACCAGTTGTGGTATTAGGTGTAACAGGTACATGTGTAGTACCAGGTGTAACAGGTATATGTTTATCATTTTAAGTCAGTTTCCATGGTTACCAGTTACATGTGTAGTATCAGGTGTAACAGTTATATGTATATCACTTCAAGTCAGTTTCCATGGTTACTAGTTACATGTGTAGTATCCGGTGTAGCAGTTATACGTATATCATTTTAAGTCAGTTTCCATGGTTACCAGTTACATGTGTAGTATCAGGTGTAGCAGTTATATGTATATCATTATAAGTCAGTTTCCATGGTTACCAGTTACATGTGTAGTACCAGGTGTAAGCAGTTATATGACCGCCAAAGACAGTTTTCCTGACCACTAGCTCTAGTACCAGGTGCAAAAAGCTTTACATATATCATACAGTCAGCTTCCATGGCCCCAGATAAAGTTCCAGATATGGGAAGCAATATAGATATATCATTCAATGTCAGTTTCCATGGCAACCATATATAATACCAGGTTTATACAACATTCAACCAACAACAGGATCTACATCACTAGGGTGGCATATCTGTGACAAGCATTCCAAAGATGCAGATTTGTTCATGTTCACAAACTTACCTGTAGCAGTTTGTTTTGAATCTAAAAGAAATTGGTACCATACATGAACAATCACAGTTTGTTGAATGACTTTTCATTGACTTACAGTGATAATTGTACCGATTCAAGCAAGAATGATTATATAAGTGTCTAATGTTTAAATGATGATATTGACAGGTAGGTTACATTGGCTAAATATGTATAAATTTACTATACATCTCACTATGCACATCTTCTATCTATAACTCATGTTTGTACCAAACAAATGTTACTTCCTGTACAGATTTATATGACACAGATATTGATGTAATAAATACACAATACAATGTACTGTGGTAAAGAGTAACTGATTCAAACAACAGGCATACACATTATATAATTAAATATCTTATAAATAAACGTATCAAGGACAGAATACCAGCTATAATCCACTTCTAACATGTACTATTATGATGGCGAGCTACGTTCATATAAATGTAATACATGTACTATGTGAGACTTAAAGAATCTGTCATATACAATGGAGGTGGATAGATAATTCCTCCCAAGGGGATCATTAATTGGAGTAAAACCTGAGGCTCTGTGTATGACCCACGAGGGAGGAATTATCTTTCCTACAACTATTACAAATGAAAGGGTATTTTTTTCTCTCATATCCTCTATCAAAATCAAAATATTGAACCTTCTCAACATTCACTCGTCGTTGTAGTTTTCAAAAAAACATCTTTGTGATTTTTCATGGAAAAATAATGAATTCTATAAATCCATAAACTGCACTATTACCCTCCCAGAAAAACTGTTTCCCTGAGAATTCAGATTAACTAGCTATTCACCTTGGTGCTTTTCATACAGCTATTTGTGTAGTTAGTTTGGGCATGTTTGAACATCATAAGTATTTTCATTTAATTTACATAAAGACAAATAAACATCTTGATAAAAAAAACATTTTTTTCGAGCAATTATATGTTTTTTATAAAATATTTCTTCAATACAGCTCAATCCCCATCATGCAATCAATTCCCTTATGTAAATGGATTAAGAAACAACGGCTATCCGCAGTTACTCCCCTTTGTTGTTGTATTGAACCTTGTGATCATTTCATCACTAGTGAATATATAGGTATCTTACATGGCAAGGTTTACCTTACAGGATATGAGAGAAAAACACCTGTCTAAACCGAATACCTTGGGCTGAATCTGTCTATAAGATCAGTTCTGTTCTCACAGGCTATACAGATAACCTCACTACATTACCGTCAGCATTCCTTTGAGATTTCAGTGTTATCAATAGGTTTGGCAAGGAAGACTTTTAAGGAATGTTTTAACTCATTCACCCCTGAAATTTCATAATGAACTATTCTAACCTTTGAATTGGATGAGTTCAAATGTGTCTTTAGGGGTGAATGTCACATTTAAAAGAAAAGGGGACCATGAAACAAGTAGTGACGGTTGAAACAAAAGACAATATAGTGAGGTTTTATTGTATATATAAAATTTCCTCAATGGAGGTCTGTTGTACATAAGTTTCCAGATACCCCTGGTTCGGTTTAGACAGGAAATATCATATATCATTAACTTTCATTATTTATAAAAACATTTTGCTCAAAATAATTCAAAAATGTAAAACAGGGCTGCAAAATAAAACTCAAAAATGCCAATGAAGAAAGTTCAGTTTCTTTGACAGAACAAGACAACTTAATAACACCATCCCAGCATTCCATTTCTGAAAATTGTCATTATAAATTAACTGATTAAGTATTGTTACTTGTCAAGAAATGAGAGAAAGTCCACCTACGGCCTCGTCCAGTGTAGGCAAATATCATGCACCAAGCATTCCAAAACAGGTAAAAATGGCTGATACATGTTACTCTTATACCCTATACTCTGGATAAAATATTGAAACAGAATCCTCTCATCTATTTTTTGAGTAAGTTTTAACAAGTAAAGATTTTTCTAATATGAATCCTTGAGACAAACTTTTAAGTATTCAAGAAATTTATCAAAATATAACCTTTATATACAACAATTATGAAATAATTTATTTCAACTTATATTAATCATTCTTGTTAGCCCGAATGTTAGCGCGTGGGAGATCTTAGTGTGGGAGGAAACTGGAGTACCTGTAGAAAACCCATGTGGTCAGGCAGGTGACCTCAGACCTTTTCACTTCTGACCGGAGAATCAAAACCCCAACCGCCGTGGTGAAATGAAAGTTCGCTATCCACTGCGTCACCCAACCACCCGATTATTACAACATCATTATTGTCAGTTATCTGCCATGAGAGAAAGTTTAGTTTTGAAGAAGACTATAAATATCCGGAAAATGGTTTACTTTGTGTCTTTGTACTTTTCAAATACTCTTCCACATTTTTTTTAAAGTGACTACAGATGTCATTTTAAGGAAATTGAGAATTTAGAAGTTGAAAATGTGGAAGATTCCAAGCTGATAGAAAACAGATGATGTCTTGATTCCTGAACAAGCAAATCATCTGGTTAACTATGGAGATAATTACAGAATTAAATACCATGCAAATAAAAAAGGAAAAAAATTACAGACTTAAAAGTAAGAACTCAAGTTCCATCCTAACAGGAATCAAGGACACAGAGAACAAAGTTTGTTGTGGTTCATCAAAGTATATTTTGACCGCAGTTTCTTATATTTTCATTCACGAAACCTTCAACGGAACATTTGACGTGACAAAGCAATAATTTCCCCCGGAATTCATTCACTTATTAACTTGTTTCGCATGATTTTTTGGAATAAATGTTTATAAATTCCTGTTGTAAACCTTGATTCCTGTTTCCTTGTAAAATAATTTCAAGCATTGCAATATTGACATAAAACATTCTTCGTGAACCTCTAGTTGTCATGGTAACAACAACCAAGCAATGTATTTGATGCAAAAGAAAACGAATGGAAACATTCCGATGAAAACCCAAATCTCTAGGTAGTATGCTGATTACTGATCAACTGAAAAGCTTACTTGCAGCTGTCTTGGGTTCTAAGTGAGTGGAATAAAACTAATGTTAGTATTCAGTGTCACCATCCACAGCTGTAAAACAAACTAGAATCTACAACGGTAATCTAATGTCATTCAAATTTTAATGTCTGAAAAATAAGCTTGAATTGACTACTCTTAAGCTGATCACTCAAAAATAAAAATCGTGAAGGGAAGCTACATACCATACCAAAAATGTTTATTTACACATTACCAGCAATATCACGAACCATTATGGAAACTGTTTGTATTTCTTGTGAATCTCCGACAATTCAGGTGCTATTTTTATTGTCAACACTAACATTATCTTTCCTTTGTCATCTCAAGGTGTAAAGTTAAGTATAAGGTAAAGAGTACCATCAAGTCAGAATATTTCATTATCATTTACACATCTATATATATATTCTAGATATAAATCTCGTCTTGTGATGCCTTTTACCGATTTTCAAATTTGAATATTTAAAAACTAACATAAAAAGCAAGAGATAAATTGCAGGACTGAAATTTAAGACACATCCGCTGCAATTTGCAACTCCTACATTTCATCAATATTGCTATCAAGGAATTGTCAATGCATAGAATCAAAATGAAAGATGAATACCTTGCCAAAGGAAGTAAATCGTAAGTTTTATCTTCTATCTATAAGGGAGAATACTCAAAGTAGAAAAAGAACAAAATGAATGGGGTTTTTTTGGCAATCGAAACAGGTGCATTGGTACCCTTTACCGTAAATAAAAGCTGCATGGGACGGATGGAAACGATGATGTGACGAGGGTCTGCCCCCAAGCTGTACACCAAACATCAATGTACCCTGACTTATCAAACTTACGATAGATCTTTGTCATTAGCTTTTTATTGAGCCACAGCCCTGGTCTAAACGGGTCCCTCTTTGGATTATTTGGTTTTGCTAAACCAATGAAATTCTTGGAAATATTACCTTTTATAACCTTTTATACAGTCTACATTATATACAAATTTTCATTTCAAAACTAATGGCAGACATCTGCATGGTGACATACGTATATACAGTTTCTACAAACATGGAACCATCAATAACAGTTTTTAAAATTTGATAAAATAGATATTTAATCAAACATTTAGAGTGTAAGAATATAAGAATATCATTTGAATATTTAAGATACAAATACAATGGTTTTAACAAATACAGTGAAATGTTGTTAATTTGAATATGTACATTTATTACCTATCTTTGGATGGTAACACAACATACATCTGTTTTTAACTCATTCACCCCTACATTTTTAAAGTGGACTTGCCCAGTCTTTCATTTGGTAAGGTTCAAGTGTGACTTTAGGGGTGAATGGGTTAATGAAACACGAAAACTGTTGTAACTTCGGGGTTCCAATAAACTGGTTTAAAATAACATTAATATAAGTTTACCTCAAAAATGTCATTTTCATATAAAACATCAAATATTACCTGCAACGTTTCGGTAAAATTTATTTGAACTGACAACATTTCAGTGCACATACAATGATACACGACTTCTTATTACAAAGACAAACATGAACAACAACCTTTCATAAATAAAGTGTCACTATTATACAACATCCATTCAACATTCCAGATAAATAATCGTATCTGACAAAAACATAAAAATATATTCAAATTTGTAGCCGGATTCTAATGTCAGTATCAATGCTACTTTCCTAAATGAATACAGGCAGCTGGAGAGTGGATGATACGAGATCTTAGAAACAATCCCTGATTCAAAAGTGATCATAGCAGATAATAGTGAGAAAAGAGAGATTCCGATACAGTAAGTGTAGACTGAAATAGTCTAAGTAGAAGATGTTTGTCGTTGCTACGGAGTAACCTATGACATGTGATAGAATGTGATTGGGAGATGAAGCTTTTCATCTGTACTCAGAAACCTGTGACATACTACACAATATGTGTGGGGTGTGACAGAGTGTGATTTGGGGATGATTTGTATCATCTGTATTCAGAAACCTGTGACATACTACACAATAACTGAGGGGTGTGAAAGAGTGTGATTTGGGGATGATGTGTATCATCTGTACTGAGAAACCTGTGACATACCACACAATATGTGTGGGGTGAGATAGAGTGTGATTGGGAGCCGATGTGTATCATCTGTATTCAGATACCTGTGACATACTACACATTATGTGTGGGATGTGAGAGGGGGATAATGTTCATCATCTAGGCCCAGAAACCTGTGACATACTCCACAATAAGTGTGGGGTGTGTTAGAGTGTGATTGGGAGATGATGTGTATCATCTGTATTCAGAACCCTGTGACATACTACACAATATGTGCGGGGTGTGATAGAGTGAGATTGGGAGACGATGTGTTTCATCTGTACTCAGAAACCTGTGACATACTACACAATATGTGTTGAATAAGATGGTTTAAAGGGAAGAATATTGTCAATGTCACTGAGAAATCTCTAACATATTAAACAATATATGTGGGATGTGATAGGGGGATGGAGAATATCATCTACACCCAGAAACCTGTGACATAATACACAATATGTGTGAAGTGTGATAGATTGGGGCAGACAATGTTAGTCATCTCTACCCAGAAACCTGTGACATACTACACATTATGTGTGGGATGTGAGAGGGGGATAATGTTCATCATCTAGGCCCAGAAACCTGTGACATAATACAAAATATGTGTGAAATGTGATAGATTAGGGCAGACAATGTTAGTCATCTCTACCCAGAAACCTGTGACATACTACACAAACACTTACACTACACATAATACACAGATACACAGCAGGGAGGACCCTATATCCATGACAATCATCTATATTAACACTCATGTAAAACAAAATTCCTATTCAGACTTACCACCAACTGTTCAGTGAGGTTTTAGGAAAAGGTAGAATGTTTTTATATCAGCATGTGTAAGTAGCAGCTTATTCTTTAACATTTTGGAATGAAAATTTAAAGGTTATCCTTTTCGTAAGGAATGCACATTGAAGTATTTACCAGACTGATGGAATGATAAGCTGAAGCATGATTTGAATCTCTGTTAACCCTACAGTGTTACTTGTGGACTTAAGCAGAATTTTCTAAGAATGATATCATAATTCAAAAGTTTGAATTTTTTAACTACTTTCACATTTTTTAATAATGCATGACAATATTGGGAAGGTGACCAATCAGAATTCACGTTACATAAAACATACTTTCAATGACTAATCAATAACCAGGTTACATATTGAGAAGTGAGAACTATTCTATATGACATGACTTACTAGTAGCCATGTTACATGTATTACGAAGTAAACAATCAGAAGCTCTGTTACAAGGGGATAAAGTGTAAGGTGACCAATCAAACAACACGTTACAAAATACTACACAATGACTAAAGAACTCACTGTTTAATTTTTTCGTAAGCTCCCTCATCACTTCCGGTTTGTCAAAACTTGTCCTCAGTTGAATTAACGTCTCACGATTCTGTGCAACCAGTTTCTGAAAAATTACGCACACAATTGTTTTGGTGTAAATTTTTGCATGGATTTTAGTTTATTTAGAAACAAACATGCAAATTGATATTATTTTTATAGTACACAGTTCACGGGTATGTGAAATTTATAGCAGTTTCATATATTTAACAATAGAGGCTTATTAACAATTCCTTTTCATGAGTGAAAGTATTGGAGATTTTTTTTGCATTTTTTGTACAAATTTTTATTTGTCACATTGTTTAAGGCGGATATTTATCTAGAAGAGCACATTTGGGAGAGTGTTCACCAGGGACTATAACTCATGTGTGTTTGTCATGCTACTGACATCATCAATCACAGGTCTTTTATCTCGATAATGATATCATAAATCACACGTGTGTTTACCTTTAACTCGTCCACCTGACTAGCGACGTGTCCCATGAGTCTCTCTCCCAGGTATCGCATGCCATATGGACCAATGAGTTCTGCTAAGGCCCGCAATTCTGTAACAAATATAAATCTTTTAAAGACTTGTCAATTCCTAACGATACAAACTATAGATAACTGGCTGTATTCTTAACAATCTATTATAGTCAATTTTCGCTATCACAATGTTTTGTAAATTAGAACAGGATGAACTTGACCTACTTGTAAGTGTTAGATATTAGGAGTACCTTCATCTACATTTAACGTCTTAGACATTATGAGAACACCTACCTGTAAGGTCAGCATATTCCTCAGCTTGCAGCAACACCTGTTGGTTGGAGTCGGCAGCCACCGTCACAAATGACTTATAATTGGGAGAGTAAACAATCTGACCGATGTTCACAGTGGCCTTCCTCAACAGAACATCCAAATACCTACAGCAAAACAATATAGAGGAGATAACTCAAAATACGACCTGGATGTCGGAGTGATACGACGATGCACAAAAATTTGGGAGAATTCCAGTCACATGTCTTCTTAAAGTTAATGCATAGTGCCATGTATGTACAATGAAGACTAGAAAATGTCTGTAAGACATAAATGCCCCCGCTCATGGATGGGACGGGACAGGATGGACATGGGCTCCCCCCCCCCCATTTTATGGCGGGGGCATAAAAGGTGTCAGAGCACACTGAATTTTTTTCTATTATCTTATGAAAATTTGTTAAAAAACTGACCAGCTTGCATAGTTGGCTGTGATGGTTTTCTCTCCGTTGAAGCTGTCAGTAGCCTGTGTCTGCTGGGGCAGCACACTGTTGAACACTCTCGCGATGTCCAGGTGTACTGAAACATAATTACATCATGTTAACCATTAATGTTGTCCAGGGGTACTACAACCTAATTACATCATGTTAATCATTAATGTTGTCAAGGGGTACTACAACCTAATTACATCATGTTAATCATTAATGTTGTCTAGGGGTACTACAACCTAATTACATCATGTTAACCATTAATGTTGTCCAGGGGTACTACAATCCAATTACATCATGTTAACGATTAATGTTGTCCAGGGGTACTTCAACCTAATAACATCATGTTAACCATTCATGTTGTCCATGGGTACTACAACCTAATTACATCATGTTAACCATTAATGTTGTCCAGGGGTACAACAACCTAATTACATCATGTTAACCATTAATGTTGTCCAGGGGTACTACAACCTAATTACATCATGTTAAACATTAATGTTGTCTAGGGGCACTACAACCTTATTACATCATGTTAACCATTAATGTTGTCCAGGGGTACTACAACCTAATTACATCATATGTTAAGCATTAATGTTGTCCAGGGGTACTACAACCTAATTACATCATGTTAACCATTAATGTTGTCCAGGGTTACTACAACCTAATTACGTCATGTTAAACATTAATGTTGTCCAGGGGCACTACAACCTAATTACATTGTGATAAATATTCACAAGTGTGCTACAACATCATTTTCCTTCCTGGGATCTCAAGCATCTTAAAATCAGAAATTAAACTTGTAGGAAATCTCTACGAATGTTAAAGAACATTCAGGATGAACAGACAACTCACCATAATTCTCTAGTCCCTGTAGTACATTCATCACTGCTTTGACACCACTCAGCAGCTCCGATGGTTTGGCAATCTCATTGGTTTCTGGGTTGTACATCATCATACCGACTAGTGCTCTAAGATACGAAGATTGGTTAAAGGTCACAGCATGTAAACACTACCATTAAATCCCCCAAAATTAAATATTGATCAGAAAATGCTTTTTCCTTAGTATACAGCAAAACATGATTATGGATTCATATTTTGGCCCAAGTAATTTTTCTTCATTGTTTCTTTAAACACAAAACAAATAATGTAAAATTGATATTTTGATTGCTCAAAACAAAATCAAAAAAGTCCAAGACCATAAATTTTTTTAAGAGGTATATATCAGAATACATACAATATAAAAGAAACAATGAGATCTTTCCATCTGGCTATCAACTTGTCTTGGATTCTATGGTATTAAATGGTTATACAGACAGTAGTGGAACATTCCACAGCTGAGTTGTGTCCCTTTGCGAGATGAACAGACTCACTTGTTGAACCGTGTCTCTAGATGTTGTAAGAAGAACTCCCTGGGAACAAAGCCGTGTTCCCATACCTGTATAACATTACAGTAGTTGATGGCGTAACACATCTCTGTCAGGGCCATGTGTAGTTTATCCATCCTGCCAATACAACATATCAAAAGTTACAAGTATTTAATATTTAATAAAATTTTGTAGACAGTTATGTCAGCTCAATTAAAATTCCTTTTCTAACTTCCTTTTGTCACCATGTTTCTTACGGTGTGGATTTTACGTTTTCCAGAATGATTCCTTCACTGGCCTTTCTTTTTGCACCATATCTTACTGTGTGTTGTTTTCCTTGTTTAGCAAGAACAGATTTTCTCCAGCCTCTCCATCTCTACCTATTCCTTAACAGGTATATTATCCCCTGTTTTACAACAATGACTCTTTTCCAGACCTCTCCATCTCTGTTCGTTTCTTACCTTCTTATCGTTTAACGTCCTATTAACATCTAAGGTCATTTAGGACGTGCCTCCATGTGTGTAGTGTATGCGTGCTTGCGTGTGTGTATGCAGGGAAACAGGGTATTTTGGTGTGTTTGCCTCCTTGTGATAGCGTGGATCTGATGCTGACTTTACAGTGCTATATATCTCACTGAAATACCATGCAGAAAACACATAGCACAGCATTCCTTTCGGTCACATTATACTGACAACGGGTGAACCAGTTGTTGCCATTCCCATAAATGCTGAACGTTACCTTGTAAAGTTTTCCCTGTTTTTCCTGAACGACTCCTCCCCTGGTCTTTCCTTTTCCACATGTTTCTTATTTTTGTCCTTGGAAGGCTTGTTCTTCTGTGCTGAGCTCACAATTGTAGCCGCACTGTGTTTGGGTAACAGCTGTAAAAAGAAATCAATCATACACATACAGGAGAAATATATAGCATGAATAATTAATTCAGCATTTAATACACAATTTTACACGATATGAATTGATGAATTATCTTTGTCTGACGATGCAAGATAGTATTTCCCAAAACGATGAGACAAACATTCACAATATCAGTCATAATTACTTAAGTTATCCCCTTTCAAACACAAACCCTCACCTTATAGCTGAGTAGACACTGTTCTTCACAGATAGCGGTGATGACCTGGTTCACCTCATCGGAGATCTCCTTAAGGAACCAGTGGGCATACTGAACGCTCGTTGTCCCTATGGAATGTCTCTGTCAAAAAACATAATTACCATTAACAAAACTGTCTTTATACTGCCATTAAACCAGGCTTTGTTTTAACAGATTTCTTTTTGCTTTTGTGAACAAAAACGTATGTCTCCCCATTATGCTTTAAAAGTAACGGCCTAGAAAAAATATTCCTGAAAACATTACGCTTAATTGACCTAACAACAGTGTACATCATCTATGAGTGATGCAGGTATATTTCAAGTTTAATCAAGATATCTTTAACAGTTTAAATGCTTCAGCTCGGACAAGATGTTCCTGAAAAATTTGCACACTTTGCAATCTTTTGACATTCAGGTCAAGGTCACAATGACCTAATGACAGTGTACTGACACCGTCTATGGGTGATACAGGTACCGGATATACTTTAAGTTTTATCAAGGTATCTTTGACGACTTAAAAGTTACGGCTCAGACAAGATCATATTAGAAGAATCAAAACCAGTGAAAGAACCAGAAGAACCAGTACTAATACAATATGTCTCCCTTCATTGGAAGAGGAGACATAATAAAAGGATGCAAAGAAGGCAATATATTCACTTCAGGAGAATTTATCATACAGCCTAGTCTTATTATGCCACACACAGTGTAACTAGATTTACTGGTAAGTCTAGTTAAACCAGTCCCCCTCACTGTAAGCTTATAGTGGCTGGACGACTTCGGATAATGTTTTACGATAAAATTAGTCGCCAAAGTAAATAGCCAGACACTGGAACAAGCGATGGTTGAATTGTGGGGAAGCTGTAAATGTCAAATAAAACTCGAACAATGCCATGTGTCAACACGAAGGGTCAGCCACTTACCTCCTCAGGACAGAGTTCATGGGTGGCCATCATGAAGTGTCCACAGATGAGGGGGAAGACGATGCTGTAGCGGTGCTGTGACGGGAATTCTATACATTGTTTGAACTGGTGCTCAAAGATCTGAGTGTAGAAGCTGTAAGTAACCACAGCAACGATTAATGACAAAGTCACTACTTACCACAGCAGCGATTAATGACAAAGTCACATTTACATCAGAAAGTCTATCTTTATTTCAACATATGTAAAACAAATAACATTAAATTTAAAAATTCTGTCTCTTTTATGTCAACACATATAAGTAATGTCAACATATATGAAAATTTAACTAACAGCAGAAATTCTATCTTCTTTATCAGAGATCTTGTAACATACAATCCCCTTACCATAAAATCTAACACTGTATGTAGTTACAGTGGCATTTTAGAAAGATTCATCATGGTCCATGGGTACCAATAATACCTCCAGTTTTGTCCTGTTACCAGAAAGTACCTTTTTTTAGATTGTGCTGTACTTACCAGTAAATAGATAAATCTGAGGTCTCTGTCAGCATCTGGTCTAGGAAGTCCACCATCTTGGTGTGGAAGACAATCATGTTTAGATGTTTGCCGAGGTCTTGATGATCCTTCAGGGTAAGTCCTGCCTTGTTACCACTTGCATATGCCTGTTAATCAGACCAGTACCGATCACACAATGTTTTTCTTATCATCCTCGTTATCCAGAGGTTACACTCACTTTCCCTCTCTACACCCCTGGAATATGTCATAGCAAAATTGAAGGCTCAGTGTGCGCCACCTTGTTGATGAGACAAGGAGACTAGTTTGATCCTTTGGTCACGTAACCGTTCAAGTTGACAGGCTTTGAAGTCGGGCGTCTCTCCTTTGTAATCTTCAAAGGATAGGTATCAGCCTAGCCATTGGTCAGTTTGTTTTACCCGAGACCAATTAAACAGCTATCTGCGTGCCTTCAATTTTGCCATGACATATTCCAGGGGTGTAGAGAGCAAAAGTGAATGTAACCCCTGGATATCGAAGATGTTTTCTTACAAGCACAGACAACACAACAATGGACCATTTAGAAATCTCTAAAGCTTTATGTGAAAATGTCCTCCAACCTGATTTCTTCGTAGTATCTAAAGGAAATATGTAGATTTGGCATTGCCATTAAAGATATATATTACATTCTATAGATTGTATAATACAACACCATAAAGTCAATTCTTGACTTACTAAGTACATCACAATTCATTGCAATGCTCTTATTGGTATTAAAATAGCCTGGAAAGCTACCACTTCAAGTTTACGGAAGTGAAGAAATTTAACTACAATAACAGAACCCTACCTGGAGTCGAAACCAGTCCAGACGAATACCCCGGAAATCAAATACTTCATTGGCCTCAACTATAAATAGAAATGAAAATAGTCCTTAGGATATTGAAAAGGTTTTTGTGAGAAATGAGGAATGGACACTAAGGAATACATTCAACTCACCAAAGTTAATTATAGGCTATCACAATCAATTCTCAAATTGGGTATTCTGAACTTGGTAACAATATTCTTTTCAGGATTTCAAAAAATTATATTCCATTTTATAAACATAAATATAAAATTTAAATAGAGTTTTCTACATAATTATCTGAATATTTTATTTTTACAAAAGGTCAAAAATATTATCCTAAATCAGAAGAAAATTTGTGAAATTGGATCCATTTCTATAGTGAACATATAACACAACCAACAGGCCTAGGTTAGTATGACTATTAAATGAAAAACACACTTAATCCAGATATTTAAATTGATGGTATAAGTCGAGAATATTTAACTTAAACAAACAAATTCCAAATGCGGGAGAGAAGGGTGTACTCACCTTGTAGTACAGTCAGTCCAGCTACAGAGTTATATAATGATGATAAAATGACAGATTCATCCTCCGGACACATCGCTAGGTTCTGTAACACAACAATGTGCTCTGTCAACGAAGATATTCATCTTTACCTTGATAAAATATGCCATCGTCAACTATTGTGAACTTTGACCTCTAATAACAATCCTCTACTGTGACTCTCAAGTTGTGATATACTTAAATGGAATGTACTCCATAGATCATAATCATATAAAAGTTCAAACTAAGACATTTAAAGTTCAGAGGTAGAAGTTTACATCGAAATTTAAACCCAGGAGCATATTAAGACTCAAACACCATAAAAAGTTATTCCTTAATTCTGAATGAAATTCCAGAATTACCAGAATGGTGCTCTTACCATTACTGTTATTCTGAAGACTAGGTGGGGAAAAAATTGATAGGTAAAAACTGCTGAAAACAGGTTACATATTAATTACTCGTATAAAATAGCATGTTTTGTTACATACATACGTATCTATATATTTTATATTCATCCTTAGCAATATTTAAGAAAACTTTCTACATGCATGTATTTTCCATACTACTCACAAATTGATTATCAGTTCAATTATTTAAATGTTCAACATAAATATTGTAACATAATTACCTGTATAAGCTGATTCAGTAAGACCGAGTCAAAGCCAGATAAATATTGTACGTAATATCTCTGCATCACCTGGTTGTACTTCCTCACCAGAGCTGAAAGTGTGAAAATAGTGAAGAATAGAAACACTGTACACCTGATAATGTCATATTGAAGTGACTTTTTGTGTATTTTAAACAAAATTATGTGCTCTGATGTAAAAATAATATTTTGTAAATATAACATCAATTTTTTATAGGAAATTCACTTTGTTCATCTTTAAACACTTTCCAGAAACCAACATGTATTATATATATATACCTTTTAATTCTTCCATGTAGAAGAGTAGTTCAGGAATTTGTCTGGAATAAAACAGAAATCACTAGTAGAGATACAATTTGCAGTGTCGATGTGATAATGTCAGATATTAATATCAGATAGCGAAGGCACTGTTAAAGGTTAACTGTTTGTAGAGTACATTTTATAAAGTACTTTATATTCAATATAAATGCTAGCAAAACTGGAGAATATAAATGTCTTATGCAATAAAAAATGATCCCTTTCCCTACCATAGAGGGCTCAATACCATTTGCTTGCGGTATTACTAGCATTGTTGTATTTCAATGTCATGGTGATTTGCCATCTAGGCCATTTTCGTTTAAACAGCCAAACCGGTCGGACCACAGTTGTTCGTTTATTAAATAAGATCAGACCTAGTAATCTGAAACTGTTTTCAGGCGAGCCTTGACAAAGCCTTGCAAGGCTTGCATAAACATTAGCAGGTCCGCCAGAATTTATACCCGAAACTGCTACATTTAAAAACGGTCAAACCGGTTGTTCCGCATAAACGAAAAGGCCCCTGGTCACTTGATACCTATACTTGGCTAGAGGGGATTCCCCTTTAACCCAGCTGGTAGAGAACTTGACCAGTACTGTAAAGTTCCGGGTTAAGCCCCTTGTGGAGGAACTTTTAAACAAGAGACCTTGGTTATGAACATGAAACATCCATTACAACAGTAATTAGGTAACCAGACTACCTACCTATCAACAAAGTCCTCCTGTGCTATCTTTATATTATGTTTCTTAGACGGAGGGTTGTCAAAATGTCGTAGAAGCCAATGGATTTCGTCTCGGGCTATAGACAAACCTTGGAACACATACAGGGCCTGTTAAAAGACACATGAAAACAGATGTTTTTACATGCTGGTTGATTATACACTGTAGTATTTAAGAGAGGATTATCTTACTGTCACATGGATGGTGCGGAGCAGCTGCATTAAGATCTGTGTTTCTTGTGGGATCCTTAATATTGTATGGGTTAGATAATTTGAGTTATAGGCAGTTGCTAAAACATGCAAGGACAACACTGGAATGAGGTTTGGGTAGATGACTGAAAAAGAATCTCAAACTTAAGGTGGAAAATAATATCAATGTTAACAAAAGGTGTATGACTAAAATGATCAACTACCAATACATATTTTTGTTGTAGCATCATATCTATGACAATCTGATTAAGACAAGAGTAATATCTTTTAGCAATTTCTATAAGAATCTATTTTACAAAATTTTTGAATTTCGAAATATACACAAGCTGTGTGCATCAGTGTGTTGATGTGGACTACATGTACATTTCCCGTCGAGTATCGAGGATGATACCAGGTACGGTGACAGTTAATCTCATAAAGAATAAAAAAGTGATATGTTTTACAATCCAGTGGTTGTGTAATGTAAAACAATTGATATCTATTTCTCTCATTTCCCTGTGTATAAGATAGAGCTGTACAGGGTATATAGGGAAATTCCACCCGAGGGGTTTTCAAATTTGGCAAAACCCTAAAGCCTGGGTTTTTACCAAATTTGAAAACCCTGAGGGGGTGCATGAAAGAGTCTTATAATACTACTGTAAAGCTAGGATGTTAGAAAGATTCAATAATTCAATGTTTAAACTACCACTACAGATACTGACCTTTGGACCCAGGAGTCCTGGCTGGTCTGTGTAGATTAGTGCCAGTTCCTTCAGGGCTGAACGCAGGAACTTCCTCCTCTCACGGTGAACCCCTGGTCTGTAAACACAGGAGTACTATTGTCAGCATAAATACCTTCAGTGGTTCCCCTTCTATGGTTGATTCCTATTAGTGCGGTCCTTATTTTTACTGTAGCCCCTTTCTCTTTGACCCCTGTCTGATCATATCTAATCTACCTTAGAAAACCCTCCATTTTTAAATTAATACAACTCCTAAGTAGGAATATTGTAAGAGAGCTATCCAATTTAGGATAATATTTATATTTAGCATTAAAGAGGAGTTACTTATAGGTTTATGTATTGTGGTGTTTCATAACTGTAATGTATTAATTAAGTATTGTTATATGCACATTATAGAACATTGTTTTATTAATACTATGATGTCACTCTCCTGTCTATTCTAATTATCTTTAGAGAATGTCATATCTATATATGTATGTACCTATAATCCTAGGGCTTTTGGCTAATGAAGAATGTAATCTACTTCCCCTTCAAATTAACCCTTCCACCACTGTAGACCATAGTGGACTCACCGAGATAATTGTATGGTAGAGCCTACTAAAGTTACATAGGGGTGAAAGGGTTAAACTACAACAATTATATCTCTGCAGAAGAATTTGAAGTTAGATATGTGTAACGTACAACTGGAAATATGAAGGTCCTCATAATTTTATTATAAGTGTTGTGGCGATTGTAATGCAAAACGCAAGTCATGTACTTGTAATGCTCTGATTTATGTTTTGGTATTCCTCTGGATTTATTCAAGTCTGTCTAGAATTTGTAGATTTAAAACAATATTAAGTTTCAAGACCACCCAAAAGCAATCAGAAGCCTCTGACATGTGACATATACATTTTACCAGAAGGTAAGTTTGTATCATACACGTGCATACAATTTTATCAGGGTTTCCATAATGCTCACAAATTCATCCTGCTGACAGAAACCAGCCAAAGCCTAAACAGTCCTGTAATCAAGGACTCCAGGGGCTATAATATAACCAACAAAACAACACATCCAGATTCTACAGTAAATCACGCTGTCTGTAATAATTCTACAGTAACTTACGCTGTCTGTAATAATTCTACAGTAACTTACGCTGTCTGTAATGCTTGATGATGAAGGTCCTTGATTTCACTGATTCTTTTACTCAGGTGCTGACTGGAATGTACAAAATAGTATTCACCAACTATATGGAAATTTACCAATATCATAACGTTACATTTGTGAACAGGGGGCTTGCTCGCCAATAAGCCCCCTCCCAACTTTTGGCCCATCTTTTCTCTCAGGAGGGGGGGGGGGGGGCTTATTGGCGGTAAAATACAGTAAAACAAGAAGAACAAGTGTATTGAATAGCTCACCTAGCTATTTTGGAAATGAGGAATGATGTTGAAATCTGCCCAGTGGTTGGGAGGAAATTATCCGGTAATGTTAGCTACTTTATCGGTGTATGCTATCATTGGAATTTGGGTTAAAACTTGCTCAGAACTTTGGAAGTTTGTCATTTAATGCAAAAATTGGTGAAGGACAGACAATGAACCAAGCACCACAACATAACATAAGGTCACTCTGCTAGTTTGTACCAGATGAGCTAAAATGTTTTTTTTAAATAAGAAGAATTATCAATCAAATCACTATTACCCTTTCAGACTCTCAAAGAATGAGATGATGTAGCTATGTATGTGAAGGACCTCGTCCCGAACCAGCTGGACGATGTAGCCCGATTGGAGAGCGGTCTTCCACAGGTCCCAGGCCTGTGGCTCCTGGAGGAACGGGTGGCAGATCATCAGGCAGACTGGTAATACAACACCATGTAAGTTATAAATACATCTGTACAACATATGACAAAAATATGTTCAAACATTTTTATAATCAAATTATGTTTTGTCTAAAAGATTCAAGGAAATCATTTTAACAAATCAGTTTACAGCTGGTGTTATTGTTTGAGTAATGAATGGACTGTAGCAAATGCTATTTTATGTACATTTGCAGTATATGAGGAAGTTATTTATTATTTAAAAACCATCAGTATTATTATTATACAAACTCTACATTCACAGGAAATCCTGGATTTGAGGTACGGGTTTTACTAATTTTGGTGAAAACCGAGGTGACAAAATGTCTGATGTGTATTTTAACAAAGAAACCATGTGGGATTTAGTAACTTACAGATAATCCATTTCTCCATGGAGTCTTGTGACAAGTATTCACATTGTATCTACAACAACAAACACACATTATAACAAGATTAAATACAAACATTTAGTGTCTTATCCTCAATTAATCATACATTACATTGATAATAAACCCTAAATAATCTTACATTAACAGGATACAAGGGAGATAAATGTGTAAACAAGCACTATATATCTGGACACCTGGGCCGTTTTCTTTTAAATGGTCAAACCGGTCGAACCACAGTTGTTCGTTTATTAAACAAGGTTGGACCTAGTAATCTGATGCTGCTTTCAGGCGAGCCTTGACAAAGCCTCGCAAGGCCTGCATAAACATTTGCAGGTCCTCAAGGATTTATACCCGAAAATGTTTCATTTAAAGGCGAACACACCGGTTGTTCCGCATAAACGAACAGGCCCCTGTATTCTACTGCTACTTCTGTACATATTTGCTTGGTAATTCTAATTAAATTTTATTACATCAATATTATTAGCTTTTACCTACAACTATGTAATAGGTGTAACACTATCTTACCATGTCCGTGTTAGGGACGTTCATGATCTTAGCTGGCTCGCCAAGGAGTGTGAGGAGCTGGGTGGCCCGCATCTGATCAGCAGGGATGTTACGCTTTGGGTAGATCTTCTGCAGGGACAGGATTGCGTGTCGCACCACCTACAAGTCAAGGTCATTCAATGATAATCTGTCATCATAAAAACTACTTTGTGTCTCACAAAAACAGTGACTAAGTATGGCCGGTGTTTGACCAGTATAAAGAAATGTGAGGAACCTTTCTCGACAGGTGAGGAACCTTTCTCGACAGGTGAGGAACCTTTCTCGACAGGTGAGGAACCTTTTTCCACAGGTGAGGAACCTGTGAGTAACCTTTCTCATCAGGACCTATTAATTATCAAACAAGAAACCAGGCCATGACACATAATGTGTATTAAACTTTCACACTATTGTAACTATTTAATTAATTTTGCCAAGTCCACAAATTTAAATAATCATTCCTACATATTTTTAATGAACAGAGTACAGGGTATGTATTATATTGACTCTTACCGACAACCTAATCAGAAGTCATGAAAACTTAATTATGGAGACAGGAAATAAGTTTTGTATATTCCCTCTGGTATAGACCACCCGATCATAAGTCATGATCATTTAATTTGGAGACAGGAAATAAGTTTTGTATATTCCCTCTGGTATAGATCACTCGATCATAAGTCATGATCATTTAATTATGGAGACAGGAAATAAGTTCCCTCTGGTATAGATCACTCGATCAGAAGTCATGATCATTTAATTTGGAGACAGGAAATAAGTTTTGTATATTCCCTCTGGTATAGATCACTCGATCAGAAGTCATGATCATTTAATTATGGAGACAGGAAATAAGTTCCCTCTGGTATAGATCACTCAATCAGAAGTCATGATCATTTAATTATCGGGTATGAAGACATTGAACAAGTGTGTTTACTCCCTCTGGTATTGGCAACCTGATCAGAAGTCATGATAGATAAACTCTGACCTGAAATGGTTGTATCTGTACTCACCCTGTGACAGAAAAGTTATAGACATAATACAAGAAATGGAACGGATGAGCCAACTCACCCTTGTGTGAGGCACAAAGTCCTCTGCCAGCTTCTTCATTGGGTAGTCATACTCCAGTATCATCTGACCGAGTCGTGGGAACCAGGGGTCCCTGAAACATCGGTAACACGAGAAATTAAAACCACTGTCATATGTATAAAATCGTAAGTGTGTATAACATCAGTTATTTCAAAATTAAACAAATAACCTTAAATGGAAACCGATTCAAGTGTTTTCATTATACAAAAGGAAGTGTATTCATTTTAACTAATAATCTTCAGAAATGCTATCATGCATACATAGAAATGCATTCATTGAAACTTTTGATTGATTTCAGAAAATAAAGGACACTTGTTTACATATTCCTGTTAATACCGGTAAGACCAATTGCTTTGCTTATATAAGCAATATATATGTCTGAACAATTCAAATATTCATCTTTTTTTATGGTTATGAAAAATGTCATTCATGGCTAAATTTGTAGCACATGTGTTTGTAAATATTAACGTATGAATAACCTACCCTGTGGCGTGTAAATACTCATGTGCGATGTTGTACAGAGACAGAACTACACGACGATCTTCCACCTTCGATACCAGGATCATAATGGATACATACGTCACAATCAAGTCAAGGTACATCTTGGTCAGGTCATAGTTCAAGGTCTGAAATTGGACAGAAATTCCCAATTGAATGGTTAGGTATGGAACAATAAGTCAACAGGTGTATGTTGCTTAATGGCAATCACTATTGTGTTTATACCTGTAAAATAAAACTTCTAAAATAACAAAATCATCTTCCAGTTGAAATTACAGATTTTCTTATTTCTTCATATTTTTTTGTCCATCGTACCAGTACCTGGGTGCCTACAATGCGTACATACAGTGTTAATATTAGATTGTAGCATTAAACTTACAATATCCAGGTAAACCTGGCAGGCATCCATGGTGGTCAGCAAGTCAACAACATGGTCCTGGAAAATACAAGTTATTTTGCATCTTTAGACACATACAATATATCCCCCTTTTTTCTAATTTCAGAAGTAAAATTTGAACATTTCTTGACATCAAAATGTTGATTCTTTTTTGAGAATATAAAGACAAAAAAGCATGTATTGTGACATTTAAACAAATAACAAATCTACATTACCTTGTAGATAAATGTAATACAGACAAAATCCGAAATATGTATTTTTCATATTTAAAACATTTTTTTTAATTTTTGATTTTTCCGTAATGAAACACTGTATTGAATGTTGCATTCAATAGGAGATGGTTTTTAAAGTAACAAAAGCTTATTGTAATGTGAACAAGACTCATTTATGAATATATCAAATTTTCAAAAGGGCATGTATTTCAAATCATCTTAGAATTTGCAACATATTTCCCTAAATAATGCAATTTCAATAGTTTCAATGCATTCCAGAAAATGAATATAGAAATCACTACGGTAGTAACATATCCTACTTCCGTTAGTGTAACTCACCTTGAAGTCCATGATGTCGACGAAGGTGAAGTAGTACAGATGGAGAGACTTACACACGTCATTCTTGATGCTGTTAATAGGCAGCAACTACAACACACCAGACAGGTCAAAAGGTCACGAATGTGGTACACCTTATAGTACTTATATAAATATCTACACAGTTTAATCACATCATTTGTTGCTAATTGGATCACCATATTTTACCTTTGGCCCCTTACTAGGATATAGAACTTGGTGGTACAAACCTAAAAGTGGTATGGAAAACACTGTTCAAAAAATGAAATATAGTGACATAATTTACTTTCATGAAATAACATTCATATGTTCAGACTTTAAAGTTCAAACAAATTGGATTTTATAATAAATGTAATAGAATTTTGATCTCTTGGTATGACCTCCACTTTGATGGTATGAAAATGAAAGTTGTTTGTTACACGAAGGGAAAAAATAACATTTGGGAAATGTGAAGTAATAGTATTTAAAGAATAGGGACACTGAAGAGAGCTAAATCCCCCCCAACTTCTCCATTTTAAGAGATAAGGTCCAGCTATAAACAGTTGTTCTTTGGAAATTTTTTCTCCAAAATATTTCAACTTTACCGCATTAGCTTTGGCGTCAGGATTGGGGAACCTCCTTAGTAAGTGTTTAAACGCAGCTTCCAGGTTTTTGTCTGACAGGAATGCTGGCTTGTTTTCTGCACTGCCCAACATCTATACACAGAAAAATAAAAATAACATGATTGTTAAAAGATACATATAACTTAGTACAAAAATATATACACTAACTTTTCATTAACAGAGAAGCCTTGATTTAAACCAAACTCACTTATTCATACAAAAGATATAAATATTTTATGTCTTGTAGTATCATTACCAGGATTGCAAAGTGTAAGAATACCTGTATTTCAAATCGAAATATAAAGAAGGCTGTTACTCCTCATATCATTTCATTCACTGACCATGTTACAAATATCATAACTTCATATATATATTTCTGTGATGTTTCCATTTTCCATAAAGTTGTTTCAGAACCCATAGTTTCCTGAAATGTATTTATCTTAATTGTTATTTTCAATTTTAATGTTTTAAAGTTTATATCTAAACGCTTTACATTGAAACCTATATGTTTACCAGCCAAACAATTCAACCCTATACCTTATACTGTAAATGGTATCTTTATCTGCAGAAACATGTAATAGTGGGTCACGACAAAGGAAAAGTGAAATCATTCTAGTGAAAAAACAGCACCAGTGAGAATCCCATTGACGCAGGTGAATCAATATTTAGAATAGGGTTGTGTCCACTGATTTCAGTGATTTGGCTGATAAACACAAAAAAGAACCCTGTAACCATGCAACACACAACACTTAATACAATTAACAACAACCTATTATATTTATCATTACCTCACATTATTCTTTACAAAACCACTTCATCACTTACTCAGAATGTCCTTATGAAACCTTTTGATTATAACCTCAAAAAAGCTTTACAAAACTGTTCATTATTACCTCAGAATGTCCTTTACTAAACCATTTCATCATTACCTGATCAGAATGTCCTTTACTAAACCATTTTATCATTACCTCAGAATGTCCTTTACTAAACCATTTTATCATTACCTCAGAATGTGGTTTACAGAACATTGATACCTATGGCGACTGTATGTATATAATATATTATGTATTATTATCATAACGGCATTCAGAAATATAGAACTCATTAAATTCCAATTGCAAAACATTAAAACTGTTAGGTAATTAAGAAGTAAATGAGTAACACATGACAATGAAAAATGATCAGTGATATAGGTCTACTGTAATAAATGTTCTCGGCAGAAACATGCTAACATCAATGGTTCATGTTATAAATGTGGCAATCTGGTTATCTCCCTTATGATTATAGGTCGGTTGGAGAAAGTGAAAGGAATTTAATTCAGATATTCCGTCTTTGCGTATTGCAGAGTTATCTTCTCTTGGGAGCAGGTATTGATTGTTACGTCACTTGTTTGTGAGAATAACGTCATCAATTTTTGAGAAAACGACGTAATTTTCTCGCACAAACCAATGACGTAACAATCAATACCTGCTCCCAAGAGAAGATAACTCTGCAATACGCAAAGACAGAAAACTGTATATATATGAAATACATGTGTTTGAAGGGAAAGACAAATTCATTCACAAATATCTGAAGTGTTTACATGATATTTCATTTACCTTTACCTTTACTTGAATCGTATCTGAAATTTTTTTTTGTCATTTTCTTTTCAACCTTATTATGAAACATTGTTTAACTCTATAGCTAGGGAAATCCATTCAATTATTTTAGTTAGCATAATAAACTTGTGAAATGAAGTAGATTTTAAAATGACAGTCATCATCCACTGAACTTTGAACCTTCAGATTTACTGCTTATATTTTATATAAATATAACATGATCTGAAGTCGATTTTCATACCACACACTTCATGATTACCCTACAATACGATTTAATGTGATGATGCTGCTGGTCTTTAATGCAGGAACATTCAATGGCATTCAAAACTGGGGGGTTTTGGTCAATCAAAACTGCCATCACCGATACAGGTGTGTTTGAAAGGCACAGCATAAGTCATGATCAGCACATTCACGATCTGATGGTGTCATCAAATCACAATGAGTCAACACGTAATATTAAAACCTTACAAATGTAATTTAGGTTTAACCATATAGTGTAGTAAGTAGCACTGTAATACTAGACCTGACAACTGTAAAAAACATGTTAAACTTTATTGATTTGACTGCATAATAATCAAAAAGAGAACATCATCATGTATTCTTTAACTAAGCTGAGGATATAACAAATAACATAACAAATTGGCTAAATAACTTAAATAAAAGTTTATCTTGTGACAAAGAAACTATTTAACATTTAACCTGACAAAGCTTTGCATTTATATTAAATCTGAATGAGTGATACTTAATACCTTACCTGACAAAATGACTATTTATTATTAAACCTGACAAATTCAGTGTGGAAGCCACAAGATATTAAAGTGAATAAAAATATTTATAATAAGTGTACTGTGCCTTAAAGAAATTGAGCAAAATTGAAATAAAATACATACAATTTCACTTGATTTTGAAGGAATAATTAATTAAATATACAGTTCTTAACAAAATTGTAAGCATGCGTACAACATTTCTATATTTTGTACATACAAAATGAAAGTAAGGTTATCATGTAATGAACGTGACAACAAACAGGTTCACTATAACAAGGGGGTGTGGTTGGAGGGCATGCATTCCACTACACACGCCTTCTATACTTACAGACATCTGGATGCCATGGTAAAATACATGTAATAACAGTCAGTTTTAAAACAGCAACAGGGGACAGAAAATGTATATGCACAGAAAATCAATCAATGTCACTGAATCTCTATAAACAAGCGGACAGAAGAGATTGATACAGATGAGCACCAACAGAAACAAATAACGATGTCTTGATGTTTTTACAATTTGTGTCAACTAAATCTATGTTTTTCTGAAATTTGTATTAATTTAGAGTTAAGAATGATATAAAAACCAGTATAAAGTGATTGAAGATGTTCCAAAACAAGATTATATCCACCAATTCACTTGGGACATACAACTCACTAAAACACTGTGATGCATACTCCAGGTATACAGATACCCGTACTGGCTAACATGTACATATGTGTGAACGCGTCTAATGAAGTCCCGTAGTTACACCCTAGTAGTCTCATGTCTATATTTAACAAGGAAGTGTAACCTAATGCCAGGGAATTAAACAGGCAACTTACATTACCGTACGACTCACAGACACATGTAATGTGTACATCACACATTCACAGAACGTTCAGTATTACATGTACAACTGGGTTTATTTTTTTATATTGAAAGCAAATATACATGCTATTTAATGCTAATCTAAATCTAAATATCATTAATTAAAACTGTATCAGGCAAAGCCACATGTAAATATGTCATAAATATATACAAATTGACACTCACAGTGTCTCTGTAATACATAAACGCAGTCATTTATATATTGTTTGGCCATATACTTCAATATTCATACATAATTATTTTCACAGTGTCAGATATGTCACATACAATGAGCAACCTTGGACACAAGTTTTGAGAGTACTATAATGTAATGTCCTGTGAAAAGTGACAAATGGTGTTCTTGCATTGACACGTCTTCACTGAAATTATAGTTACTCTCAAAACTCAGATCTAAAGATGCCCAAATAGTACATATATACACATGTGTTGGCCATATTTTGTGTACACCAAGTCAATTGCCGTACACATTTACATACAGTGTCATACATACTGCATCAAACACACATCACATACATGTATGTGTCATACTACACAAATGTGTATGCATCAATGTATCTAGCTATACGGAAAAATATCATGCTCTAAAAACTATGCAAATTTTAAAATATCAAAGCCCTGGCCTGTGATATCATTTTCAAGTGCTTATTTATTGTCATTACCTGTTCTTTGTTAAGGCCTGCAATTGCCCCTAAATTGGGTTTAATCCTCTGTATTCTCTTTCACGCAAAAGCTATGTACTTCTTTATCATATGGTTGTTTGTCAAACAACACTTACACTATTGAAATTAGATCAAATTACCGGTTTCAAGTATTACGGAAATGTAATGCTTTTACTGGCGATGTTATCTTTTGTCTGTAGCTATTAATTACAATTTTAAGCAAGAAAACAACTTGGTTGTTACTGCAGTTGGATGGCCATGTTCCTATAACATAAGAGGCCGCTGGTTGGCATTTTTTTTATCAGATATTGACAGGTCCAGTACACTCTGCCGATTGAGCTATATAGCTATAAAGACCTATATAGCTATATCCACCTATAAATTTTAGCTGTATTGAGCTATATATTCTCGGATTTCAACTTTCATTAAATTAAAGCAAAGTCGCATAAAACAATAAGGTTTATGGTAATGTTGATTACAAAAAGCATACAGTTACATGTTTATTTTCATAAAAGCAACTTTGTTTTGTTTTCCTTAAAAAGAGAAAATCACTTGAAAATAGCTCAAAAGACCTATTTCAGATAGGTCTTTCGAGCTATTATTGGTCTTTACAGCTATATAGCTCAATCGACAGAGTGTACTGGACCTGATTGATATGATAATGCCGACTGCTACGCCCGTCAGGAAATTTCCTGCAGAGTAAACCTCTAACATGGTTGGAGCACAGGGGCACGGTTCAATTCATAAATCTATATCTGAGGTCTCCTTGTTTACTATATGTATGGTAAACAAGGAGACCTCAGATATTAATTGATGAATTGAACCGTGCCCCTGTGGCTGTGGTTGGAGTAGGGTTTGTGCTCGACAAATGTGCATTAGTTCAACATATCCACTTCATTAAACTAAAAAACAAATTATATTTACAGGTGGACGAACAGTTAAACCAATGCAAACACTCACGCAAAAGAGGATGTGAGTTTGAGAGGCTCGATGTTTTTTTTATCAATATAACGTTAATGACATTTTATCACATCAACAATCAAAACAATGCCACACCTTCTTTATGTTGTAAATTCGTGTCAGCATCCCCCGACCCCTGTCAGTCAGGACCGTCAGCTTCTCAGCAAGCTTCTGTTGACTGGGTATCAATGCTCTCGACATGATGAAGCAGTGAGTCGACAAGAACACGAAATGTTAGAAGTAGGATGTCAATAATAATATCAATCGGCCTCCATCTTTACTTTCCACTTCCTCACTCAGAACGAGACATGTTCCGACTTCCGGTTTACTTTCAGCATAGTCCATTTCAATTTTTGTACAAAGAAGGCCACCTCAGAGACTATGGTGCGTTTCAAAATTGTCTAGATACTTCATCATCAGTTAAAAAAATAGTAATAAATCCTATATAATATTATTACCGATTACTAAATTGATAATAATTAACTCAACAAAATAAAAATGGTAAATTAATAATTTGGTACATTTATTAACAATTATACCAATATACACAGCCGAATTATACTTATGTACAAATAGGTGCCAACCTCGCGGTTGTTTTATGAAAAGCAATATCTTTATTTAAGTTAATGTAATGCTCTGTATATGTGCCTTTCACCTGAATAAGACAAAGTATTTAGCAATTCAAGTGTGGTAAGCGTACAGTGTAGGTGAGGGAATATAACTTTGTAATACCAGTGGGAATTACCAATGTACCAATAGGTTGTTTTATGAAAAGTAATATCTTAAGTAAAGATCTGTATATGTTCCTTACTGAATAAACATTATTATTAAGACACAGTATTTAGAAATTCAAGTGTAGTAAACGTAGGCACGGAACTAGATCTAAGTCCGTGACGTATGTAAGGGGATACGACACCGGGCCGATATGTCAGTAAGTACAGCGCCGCATCTCCAAAATAATTTTGATGGCCTCAGAAGAAATAAGGAAGTGAAAAGTAATTCGTGGAATGTGTACCCCCTGCTTTTTCAAGACATGTCATCAAAGTTCATTATTGTCGGTTATTGTATTGTAATGTTGTCAATAGGATATAGAATCTTTAGTAGACATACCGAGAAACTCCTCAGTTTCTGCTGAAATTAAGTATATATAATAAAGATATAAGCATGCACGTGCACATCAGGAGGAGGGAGGGGGGGGGGGGGGGGGGGGGTGTAGTCATTAACTCCACATATACGACTCATTGACTCCATATATGTATAGTCTAACAAGTGTCGGAAAAGCAAAATCTTCGTCCCTGATTGTACATATAACATGGTTACGTAACTCTTCAGTCTTTGACTCATTCTGCGATAAGTATAGAATAAAGAAACGTTTCGACATTGACACTAAATATAGCACGTGCAAGGCAAATATATTCTTCACTGTCTCCACATATGACACGTGTAGGAAAAAGAAACGACACGTCGGGGAGTTAGAAACCACACTGGTTGTGTTATATGAACCCTATATAAAAAATAAATAAAGAATACATCTGCTGTTTGCTCTTCCTTCTGACTACTTTTTCGTTTTTAACGCCTCATTTGTCAATACCTCGCTTTTGGCATTGGAGTTGAGTGTTTGCCCAAGCGAGAACAATTATGTGTTCTGTCTCTTGACCGAGACAAACCAATGTCCTTAAAACTTGCTGCTCTCTACATGACGAGTGGCTGTAAATGGGTAGAAATGGTGTCAACACAATGTGGCCGGATGGAATACTGTGCTATGTGCCTTCGTCATGGTATTTCAGTAAGGTAGCACTCTAAAGTCGGCATCAGACCCGCGCTATCGCAGATTGCCTTGCTCATGCGCATATATTACACACACGGAGTCACGTCCTTAAATGGTATTAGCTTTTAATATGACGCTAAACACAATAAGATAAGAAAGAAAGAAACACTTTCGTCATTGACTATACAATAACATTGTGTAGGACAAAAAACATAAAATCTCAGTCGTAACTAACTCCAAATATGAATAGTGTATTTCAATACAGCGACTGAGATGCTGGTCTTTTTCGTTTATCAAGTTCCAAATGAATGACAGGTTGGACCAGAGTTGTTCGTTTACGAAATAAGGATTCACGAATCTAGTAATTCAAGTTGTTTTATGGCGAGCCTTGGCAAAGACTTGCAATGTTTACATCGATATTTTCAGGTCCATCATATTTAAATAAATAAATAAAAACTGTTGGTCCGCCTAAACGAACAGAGCCACTTTGTTACTGCCTCCACATAACATTTACAAGACGAAGAAACACTTTTGGCACTGGCTCCACATTACGTACATATGTATGGGGTACCATATTACTTTTTTTAACCAATCTTGTGATATCCTAATTTGACTGACAGATGATACGACTGATCCAAAGAGTGATATTACATGTACTAATTTGAATTAGTCAAAACATCAAATGGAATTAAAAAAATTAAAACGGCACATGATCCATGTGTAAAGTAACTTTTCGGTCTTAAACCACACTATACAGTCACGCGTGTGTCTTATTAGGACAAGTTAATCGTGTCCTAGATTGAACTATTTGGTAATATACAATAAGTATAAACAAATATCAAATTACATGGTTACATTCTATAAATATACACCAGACAAAGAAAGTACTTCAAGTTCCGTGTCTCGCGAGGTAAGCGCAAATAGACTCTATGTAAACATTTCTAAAATTAAGATTCCCGTCACACCTGAGCTTTTGGATCCTTGGATAGACATTAGATTATAATCGAGCAAGTTTGATTGTCTTACGAGTACTGTTTTTTTCTATCCAATAGTTGGTTTAATTTCCGCATACGGAGGTCTTGAGGAAAGGGATATATTTATCATAAAAAAATCGGATATTAAGGAGATAAAATACAGGAGTTTATATCGCTGGGATATTGTGAAGTATCTAAGAGAGAAGATGCCCGTTGTAACGTGTTGTGTGAACTTCTGTGCGGTGGGCATACCTCTGATTGTCAGTTCGTTTGTCATGGTGTTTGCCTTCGTGCTACACTTGTGTGGAGCTGTATCCCCCGCCTGGTTCGACTTCACGTACACCGGCACCTCGGCAGGGACTAGCGGATACCAGGGACTCTGGGGCCATTGTACCATCGCCAATGACAATGTGTGTTGTGGAACGGTCAGCAACTACTACAGCACCAACGGAGGAGTCCCAGGTAATAAATAATAAATCTGTTTAGGTTTTTCACGAACACCTCCGTCTAGGCATCCTCGATACTCCAGGAAGGGGTTATGCTTACCTACGCTCTCTACAACCCTGGAATATGTCATAGCAAAATTGAAGGCTAAGTGTGCGCCACCTTGTTGATGAGACTAGCAGACTAGTTCGATCCTTTGATATACATCAAAAGAATCTCGCGGTCACGTAACGGTAAAAAAAATTGAAGTCGGGCGTCTTTCCTTTGTAATCTTCAAAGGACAGGTATCAGCCTAGCGATTGGTCAGTATTTTTTCCTGAGACCAATCAAACAGCTATGTTCGTGCCTTCAATTTTTGTCATGACAGGAGATTTCCAGGGGTGCAGAGAGCGAAAGTGAGCGTACCCCTGGATATCGAGGATGGGTCTCGGTTATAACTAGGGGTTCAAAGTTATAACGAATACGCACGTCATGACCAGATGTGGTTGGCGGTTCGGCGTTAAAAAGGTACGTGTAAGAAGTGACTTTTAACGCGTTAGAATTGCCTTTTATCGCGTTAGAACTTACTTTTAACGCGTTAGAAGTGCATTTAATGCGTCAAAAGTCACTTTGAACGCGTTACTTTTTCAAATGTAACAGTTACACGTTATAATATTTTTAACGCGTTAAAATTCCCTGAAAATCTATTATTAAAATTCTAAATTGCGTTCCGACACCACTTTTAAGGCTCTGAAATTTTTATTTATATATCAAAAACTGCCATATTTCATTACGATTAAATGAAGATTTGTTTATTCATATTGAAAAACCCCCAGACAATAACCCATTTCCACATTACTTAGAAGAAACATATGATGTGGAAATGGGTAAGTGTCTGTTTTTTAAAATATAATTAGTCATAACATTTTTATTTATTTTAAATATCAAAAGCATCAACTATGAAACTATTACTCTGATTGGCCAGTGCATTTACCATTTTAACGCGTTAGATGTGAATTTTAACGCGTTACTTATACATTTGTAAAAGTAACGCGTTAGAAGTGACTTTTAACGCGTTAAATGCACTTCAAACGCGTTAAAAGTAAGTTCTAACGTGTTAAAAGGCAGTTCTAACGCGTTACTTTTTAAACGCGTTACTGTATATCGTTTTTGGCCCGAACCGCCACCCATAACTAGAGTCCCATATAGTTACGAAGCTTCATAGGTTAAATAGGAGTCCCAGGTAATAACGACGATTCATGGGTTATAACTAGTTGTCCGAGGTAATTACGACGCCCCATGTATAGGTTACACCTAGTAGTCCCTGGTATTTACGACGCCCCATATATAGGTTATAACTAGTAGTCCCTGGTAATTACGACGCCCCATGTATAGTTTATAACTAGTAGTCCCTGGTAATTACGACGCCCCATGTATAGGTTACACCTAGTAGTCCCTGGTATTTACGACGCCCCATGTATAGGTTATAACTAGTAGTCCCAGGTAATTACGCCGCCCCATATATAGGTTAAAACTAGTAGTCCCAGCTAATTACGACGCCCCATATACAGGTTATAACTAGTAGTACAAGGTAATTACGACGCCCCATATACAGGTTATAACTAGTACTCCCAGGTAATTACGACGGCCCATATATAGGTTAACTACTACAGCACCAACGGAGGAGTCCCAGGTAATAACGGCGTCCCATGTATAGGTTACCCCTAGTAGTCCCTGGTGTTTACGACGCCCCATGTATAGGTTATAACTAGTAGTCCCAGGTAATAACGACGTCCCATGTATAGGTTACACCTAGTAGTCCCAGGTAGTTACGACGCCCCATGCATAGGTTATAACTAGTAGTCCCATGTAATTACTACGCCCCATATATAGGTTATAACTAGTAGTCCCAGGTAATTACGACACTTCATATGTTATAAGGAATGTGTCCCCAATTCACCGACTCATAAGCTATAACGAATTGTCTCAAGTAAGCACCTCATCTCATAAGTTACTGAACGGAGGGGTACCCGGTATACATCTAGGGTACAAGGACGAGGGTGGGGGAGGACGGACCTTGGTACAACAGAGTGGCCCCCATAACGCTGGAGCAGTTGAGATAAACATATGCTGTAGGGTACGATATACATGTAGGTTAAACATGTATATCAACATGCTCGATTGATGTCTTCCAGAAAATAATATCCCCTTCTAGGAACCAGTCGAAGGGTTAAAATCGGTTTAAATTTAAACTTTATTCATTTTACAACAATTACGAAACAAGTTATATAACTTGTATTAATCTTGTTGGACCGGATGTTAGGTTGCAGGGTGTCTTATTGTAGGAGGCAATCTGAGTACCCGGAGAAAACCCACGTGGTCGGGCAGGTGACCTCATACCTATTCACGTCCGATCGGGGAATCGAACCCCGACCGCCTTGGTGAAAGGCGAGTGCGTTATCCATTGCGCCACCTGACCAACCAAACATAAAATCGGTTAACTGTTACACCTATTACAACTGAAAAGGACACTTGCTATAACTATATAACGTTGCCACTTTCTTGGCATTTGACTGGCTGTATATTGTAATGTTACACCTGCTAATTAGTGTGTTTTGAGAGTCGCCACGAGATAAGTTGAACACTGACGGAGAGCGTGTTGTGAATTAATACAATTAAAATACGTCATTGACATAAATATTATAATGGGTGATATTTAAGGACATACAATCAAATTAGTTATGATACTTACACAACACAATTATGTCCATGTATATATTTACGTATCGGGGATCAAGTATACGCATGGAGGACCTCTGATACGTATCGGGGGCCAGGAACGTATCGGGGACATGGCACGTATCGTACTTACATGTCATATCAAAGAAAGAGCATGTGCGAGAATGGAGAATGGGTGATTGATATGTAGTGAAATATGTGTAATGTATTGTTAAGAAACTTCAAAAATAAAAATATATAAAAAAATATTCCCATGGATTCTGATACGTATAGGGAAACTAGCACGTATCGCCGACACGGCGTATCGAAAACCTGGCATGTATCGGTAATTCTGGGGCTAATCAAGGACCACTAGCAAAAAAACCCGATAACTTCTGGTGCGTATCGAGGACCTTTGGCACGTATTAGGGACCTGGCACGTATATCGCTATCCTGTGTTGCGTATCAGGAACCTCTGGTACGTATCGGGGACTTGGCTTGTATTGGGGTCTTGCGTGTATCGGTAATTTCTGGAACGCATCGGAGACCAGGCGTATATCGGTAACCTCTGGTACGTATCGGGGACCTGGCGTATATCAAAAACCTCTAATACGTATTGGGGGCCTGACACATATCGGAAATCTCTGGTACGTGTCGGAGACCTGGCGTGTATCGGAAATCTCTGGTACGTATCGGGGACCTGGTGTGTATTGGAAACCTCTAGTACGTCTTTGGGACCTGACACATATCGGCAACCTCTGGATTTAGTACATAACTGATTGAGGCTCTTATGCGTATCGGGGACCTCTCGATTTTATAAGAGGTATGCTGGCTAATGTACATGTTGATAATATGACCCGGTGTTAATTTAAAATATAAATGTCCAATCATACGCAAGTGTTTTATTTGTCTTTAATATATTGCAAAGCAATGTCCAACCTTTATTGGAAAATACAATTATTTTGTCTTGTTTCGTGTCTTGCAACATAATCGCTATATTGTGACTGCTTTCTATTTAAGTGCATGTTATTTATCGTTTCAGAATGGCTGACGGCGTCCCAGTACATGGTCGCTATATCGTTATGTTCGGGTGTTGCCTCAGTAGTCCTCGTCTTTGTTGCGTCATGCTGTGCGTCCAAGACGATCGCCATCCCGGCTGTGGTCTGCTCCATCCTTACAAGTAGGTCTCTGTAGCTGAACATACACTAAGGCGAAGGACGTTGCTCTTCTGTGTAGATAATTCCTCTACGATACACTGCGGTATAGATCGTTTGTCGTTCCTCTACGATACACTGCGGTATAGATAGTTTGTCGTTCCTCTACGATACACTGCAGTATAGATCGTGTGTTGTTCCTCTACGATACACTGCGGTATAGATTGTTTGTCGTTCCTCTACGATACACTGCGGTATAGATCGTGTGTTGTTCCTCTACGATACACTGCGGTGTACATCTAGGATACACTGCAGTATAGATCGTTTGTCTTTCCTCTACGATACACTACAGTATAGATCGTGTGTTGTTCCACTACGATACACTGCGGTATAGATTGATTGTCGTTGCTCTACGATACACTGCGGTGTACATCTAGGATACACTGCAGTATAGATCGTTTGTCGTTCCTCTACGATACACTGTAGTATATATCGTTTGTCGTTCCTCTACGATACACTGCGGTGTACATCTACGATACACTGCAGTATAGAAAGATTGTCGTTCCTCTACGATACACTGCGGTATAGATATAGATAGGTTGTCGTTCCTCTACGATACACTGCAGTATAGATCGTGTGTCGTTCCTCTACGATACACTGCGGTATAGATATAGATAGGTTGTCGTTCCTCTCCGATACACTGCAGTATAGATCGTTTGTCGTTCCTCTACGATACACTGCGGTGTACATCTACGATACACTGCAGTATAGATCGTTTGTCGTTCCTCTACGATACACTGCGGTGTAGATCGTATCTATTGTGAAGGCCGTTCCTCTACGATACACTGCGGTGTAGATCGTATCTCTTGCGAAGGTCGTTTCTTTATGATACTATGTGGAGCAGTTCGTTTCTACTGTACAATATCAGTGAATGCCGTCCATCTACTATGCTTACAGCGAAGTGTATCATACACAAAATTTAGGTTTGATTTGAATAAGTATGATATAAAGGCATCACAGAGACCTCGCTTTACAATCTTTTCATATTTCATTGGTAAATATTTAACCATGGTTAGCTCAAATATTGGACATGATCACTTCTGGCTAACAAAAACGGTCCAATATGTCACCGATCATTCTTTACCTCCGTTAGTATATAAAACAGGTAACATAATATCTGGTATAATATAATATATATTATAATAAACATAATATGTCTTAATAACACCGAATTTTGTCGAATAATGCACGAAAATGATGAAGATACAAATCAGAATAACGCTTTATATGTTTTGGCATATTGACAAAGTCTCGCTTTCTTCGTAATATGATAAGCGGACAGCTGACTGAATTACACATTACACAATTATGACATGCTTGTATGTCTGAATTATGCCTAAACAATTATGACATGCTTGTATGTCTGAATTACGCCCCATCAATCATGAGATGCTGGTATGTCTGAATTATGCCCAAACAATTATGACATGCTTGTATGTCTGAATTACGTCTAATCAATTATGACATGCTTGTATGTCTGAATTACGCCCCATCTATCATCAGATGCTGGTATATCCGAATTACGCTCGATGAATTAGGTAGCAAGGTTAATGACCTTAATTGATGCGAGGACGTTAAATCTAAAATAAATAAACAAAAGTAATAAACTTAAATGTTTTGACCCGATGGAAATCTTTCTTGCACACGGACCATTTGAATAGTGTATACTTACTGATAGAATGCAATAGGTCTTACTGGTACTTCCCTTGTTTCAGCCCTGTTGTTAGGCGCTGCTGTGATCACGTTCGGGTCGTCTGTGTCGTCGGAGAGCTGGACATCCAGGTCCGACTATAATTTCGCGTTTTTCTTTGTTCTATTCTCCATGATCGGATATACAGGATGTGCCGTTCTCATCATAGTTGGCATTTGTACAGCAACTGCCATCACAGCAGGTAAGTGTATCTCCCCTACCACTCTCAGAGCAGACAGGTGTGTCTACATCTACCACCTCACAACAGATAAGTGTGTCCTCTCCTACCACCCTCACATGTAAGTGTGCCTACACCCCTACCCTCTCTTCAGGTAAGTGGGCCTCCACCTATACCCTCACAGGAGGGAAGTTTTTCTACACATTCAAGCCCTCAGAGCAGGTGTCTACACCTATAGCCCACACAGCAGGTACAAGTGCATCCACCTATCACCTAACATCAGATAAACACCGCCCTAACATCTGGTAGTAAAATATATACCCACACTGCCCTCACAGCTAGTGGGAACATATATGCACACTTTGCCCTCACCGCTAGTGGGAACATGTATATACACACTGCCCTCGAGGCTAGTTGGAACATGTATATACACACTGCCCTCACAGCAAGTCGGAAAATATATACACACATTGCCCACAAATGTACAGCTAGTAGGAATATGTTTATACACACTGCCCTCACAGCTATTGGGAACATGTATAAACACATTGCCCTCATAGCTATTGGGAACACATATAGCTATTGGGAACATGTATAAACACATTGCCCTCTTAGCTAAGTATAAACATGCATCATCCATTGCTTTTTTTTATATACATGCAGGATGTAAGTTCAATGACCACCTTCAATTCAAGTGGTGTTGACATATGTACATTTACAGCATTTTAGAAAAAAGTGCCGTAATTCTGCTGTAGCTGACACATTGCGGTAAAATTCATGCAGAGTTCTTCAAAATCAATAATGGAAATAGTTATATTTTAGCAAAGTTTGATAAAAACAATTCAGAAAACACTGTCATGCAAGCTATTAAATCCTTGGTAACAGGTTCCACCATATTTTTCGTTCTCTTTCCAGTTGTACCAGGACCTTTGTAATACACAGCCCTGCTGACCTCCTAGATCACAGCAAGTCATGCCTATGGCTGACCTGGGATACTCTTCTACTTAAGTAGACCTTTTAAATGACAGACGTTGATCCTGATTCTACATTGTTTACCTGGAAACAACTGCCTATAAAAAGGCTGACATAGGAAACTCTTAGTCTCATTTTATATGTATGATCTGGGAAAGTATCAATAAACTGCCCTAATCTGATAAGTTCATTCCTATATCACAATGCTAACCCTGAGTAATAGACCTCCTCAATGAAGGGTCATCCACATACTGTATAACATGAAAGGTTTGATGTGTATAAACATTCAAGGTTTTCATGGTTGCTGTTGAACCATGAAAATAAATATAACTTATTTGAATGATTGTATGTGTCTACTGTTTGTTAATGTAGGATATCCACGAATGTTTCAACTGTGTACCACCAAACGATCTAAATGGCTTCAAACCACTAAGGAAAGTACCCACAAACATTTCCTGTTGTACAGTACTACTAGCCTCAGTACATATACGACAAAACGGTTCCTTCACGTTTCCAATGTTTGGTTAGGATTTTTTTGTATCATGTTTGTTGGATTTATTTGGCGAATCTTTTTTTTTTTTTTTTATTAATTGCTATTTCAACTAGGAGATATGGAAGAATATTTTCTGGGACAGTACTGGTAATATCCAAAGGCATCGGACAAGAGATCGACTTTGTCTATGATCATTTATGTACTATTTGCTCAATGTCCAGCAAAACATCAATAATAATTAGGTTATTTGAATATATGTTATTGTTTAACTATTTTATATTTATTATCTCAACTAATATTTCGACTGTGTATCATTTACATTGTTTAAGGAGTACCTTATTAATCAGTTGTATGTAAATTCCGTCCCAATATTGTTTGTTTTCTCTTTCACATATCTTGTAATGCAAAAATTAAAATATTGTAATGAAGATGATCTGGTTTGTGCTTTCTCTTAAACCTTCATGTCATGTTATCTTTAGAGGAAAATGGTGAAAACCTTTTTTGTTTCACTGTAAATAGTACAAATGAAATCACACAGCGGCATATGATAATTATAACCACAGAGCTAGTTTAGTGAAGAATTTCTTGTGTAATACAGCCTTTACAAGAGAAGTCCTCAACGTTCCTTTCGAATGACAAGTGATAACTTGGTTTGGTTTGTTTATGTTTAACGTCCTATAAACAGCTATGGTCATTTCAAGACATGCAAGGTTTTGGTGGTGGAGGAAAGCCAGAGTTCCCGGGGAAGAAACGCGACCTACGGCCAGTACCTGGCGACTGCTCCACGTAGGCCTCGAACCCACTACCAAGTGGTGGAGGGCTAGTGGTACCAGAATGTCAGACGCCTTAACCACTTGGCCATCACAATTGATCACAAAGTCACATCAACCAAAATGTGTTATTAAGCGGGATATACTTTTGACACTATATGAATGTGCCATTATACCCTCTAATGTTTCAAATATGCTTAAGCTGTTGGTATCGCATAACTGCATCTATTATTTGGTATAAATCATATCTAGTGGTTTCATGCAACATTAACCTGTATACAGGAAATTTTCGCTGCAGTTTCATTTTTTCTCCCTGAAAATAGGGTGAATTCATCATTACAACAAATATAAGTAAATAACATAATAAACATAGTCATTAAATGTAAATGGTGAAATTAACACTAGGTGAAAAAAGGTTTCATGGGTCAAGGGCGAAAAGTTTGACTTAGCGAAAATTTCCCGGTAAACAGTATCATAATTTCATGGTAACATAGGATATAATGATCAAAACAAAAGGACTTCAGTAAGTCATCATTTCAGTCTTTAATACTGGCTTTTTGAAACCATCTGAGGACATCCACATCGTTGTCATGTCATGAGTATTAGCATTCCAACTGACTGTCAATGACAATTACAGTTTATTTACACATCGAAAGATGTTTTCTTCATGCTGTAGTGGTTATTTGAATGTCTAAAGGTGCTCAATACATTCACAAGAAGAAATATAGCCACAGTATAAACATTGACAAGTCCTGCTTAGGATGTCCACAACGTTCCTGCACATTTACATGACATATTTGGAATGTCCACACTTGCATGTTTACTGGCTTCACCAGGCAGTCCTGGCTGGTCTAACAGATTCCACATTTACAGCCCTTCATTGGGTTGTCCACTCCATACCATGCACACGTTCGTGACTTTCAGTAATTCAGAATACCTAAAAAACACAAAGATTATACCATTTTAAGCATAACAAAGCCAATATTGCAAGCTTACTGAACATACCTTGAAAACCAATTGAAAAGAAGTGCACCTAGTAACCTTATACAATCTTCACAGATAACATAGTTTGACATTTTATATACAACTTTATAATCTTTTTTTTTTAGAATTGTCTGAAAACTATTACAAGATAAAACCCATGAGAAAACCTTTCTTTTGATCACGTTTCTTTCTTACTTACCATGTGACTGTATAGCGTGTACATAGTGAACACAATTTGTAGTGTTGCTCTGACAGGGCTCGAGAAGTTGTCTAGATCACACCTGGTAAAATGAGATTTGGAGCTTGTTAAAGAGCTGAACAATTTGACATTTGTCACAAGTGCAAAGCAATAGGACCCCATTACTGAAATGACAAACATATGTCTGTCAAACAATGATGCATTAGTGGGTTTTGATTACAACATCCAAATCAAATCAAGCGATTTCTTTTTCTTCTTTCTATTCTGATAAAACGTCAACTTAGTTTTCATTTATCATCTTATATCTCAAGGGAAATTAGAACCGTTAGTTTTACCTGTGAAATATCATGGTTTCAGGAGTAAACATTTTTTGTATAGAGTGAAAAAATATCAGGTTGTGATGTTTTTCACCATAATGTGATCTCAGATCTAGAGAGCAGCATTGACAGTGAAAATTACAAAATGAAATCTTCATAATGTGATAACAGTTGAATTCTGTCAATTTAGTTACATGCTAATGTATTCCTTTTGTCCGACTATGTGGGATGAATGATCTTCGTGTTTTTCACCTGTGCTATATTACCTGCAAACATATTTTCTATTTCTGACACTAGAAATCTTCAAACTTTCAGAACAATATTCTATTTTCGCTGAGTCATTAAACTTCAGCCTGTTGGAGGTAACAACTTACCATGTAGATGTAGATGTAGACGTAAGTCATGCTCAATATAGGCAGCCCACAGTTGGGCCATAGCTAAGACATGTCGCTGTTCGCACTGTACACGTGTTGACGTAATTACTAGACTCAAGTCTCAGTTAGGCCTGGCAAGAATAAATGACATTTGATAAAAATATCTGTAGTATTAAGTCTCATGTGACACTCATGATATGTTTTAATAATCTCAAATTTGTAACGACTTTCAAAACAAATGGAATATTAGTTCAACACTTTTTTCTTGAAATATTTAAAAAGAATACAATTCACCAGACAAAGCATATTTTCCTTCAAACAGGATTATATATTAAAGTTTCCTAGAAATTTAACTTTCATAAATTTATTTTCCACAATTCAGAAACAGAAGTTTTGATCACAGAAAACAAGTGACAATTTTCACAACTGACACACAAACCATATATGCAAGTAGAGTCCTAATGATTGGATCCCAAGTAAAAACTCAAAATATCAATCAATAATAAGCCACACAATCAAAATTTGCAAAAAAACATTTCAACAGTGTTTCCATGGATATCTTCACTCCATCTGTCTGATCATCCTGGGAGAGCCGTTTGTATACAGTTGTTACTCAAAGGTTACACTCAAAGGTCAAAGGTTACTTCCTGTTACTTCAAAGTATTCAACACTGAAAATAGCAAACAGTTAACAAAACAAGACACTTCTTGTAAAAGGAGTGTGATCACAACATCAATTTACTATCGAACAAAGAACAGGCCAATTTTGAGCAAAACACCCAGCACCAAAATAGGGGAAAATGTTCCGATCCCAACCCAATCTAAACTCCAGTACACAAGTGGGTGAAACTCTTGGTATTGCGAGTTCACCAATAACTTTTCTCAAAACACATTCCATTTTAGTGTTCAGCTAGAGACACAGGACTACAATTCACATCATGCATACAAATTCAGATTCTCCACATTTGTTTTTTTCCAGATTGGAAAGTTAGGACACACAACTAAACAAAGATATCATTGACGATTCTTTCCCATTCATATTTGAATTCTTTTCCGAAAAGTTTAACAAAAACCACCCATCATATATTAGTGAAGATTTTAAACCAGTTTATCACAAATATAATACAAAAGACATGAAAAAATGAATTTTAAAGCAAAAGCATCACATTCAATACCAGTAATAATTCCAATGAAATACCTGTACTGAACAGACCCCTACAAGTACCAACACCTGTAATGGGGACACTGTTACACCTGTGAAATCTTCATGTACTCCTGGAGCATTGATACCACACAAAACTGGAAAACTCTGCAAACAAATGTCTGTCACACAGACTTTCCATAAAAACACAGGCCAGCTCAGCAGACATCGTCAACCCCGCATTCCTGTACGCTGCCAGTAAATCCAAGAGAAATCCCTTCGTCGCAAAACGCCACATACCAACATAGTAATACTGCAAGCATCATGTCACATTTCCAGCACATCGGCATCAAAACCAAACTTACTCATTCACTTTTACTACACAAAATGCTGTACGAAATGGTTCACACAATTTGTCAGCGAAAGATTTAAAAATTTGTTCACCCTTCACCTCACCTAGGTTTCAAATTCAAGAGCATTTTTTATTACTGTTTTTGTTTTTCGAAAGATAAGATATTTCTTATATCAAATCACTTTTCAATCATTTTTGAAGGGATAACACACACCTGTATACACAAAGATTCACATTTTTTAAAACAAATTTAGGATCTGATCAAACTAGTACAATCAAGCTCAGTAACACAACAATAAGATTTTATAGTCTACAGAATTTGAAGGAAATATATCCATCTATGCCACATTGTTTGATCAAATTAGAAAATAGTGTTTATACCAAAAATAAGGTTCTGCTTTGTGAAGATTTCAGCTATTTTACTACAATGATATAGATATTTAACATTTCAAAAAAGTAATAATATACAATAAATAAATAAAATGTATTTCCCTTTCCTCCTTCAAGCAAAAATAGAGACAGAAATTGAATTTCTCTCAAAGCACACAATTTTTTATCACAATATCTCAAACTTATAAATATGGAACATCTTACATACCAGTATCTGTCAATTTTCTCATGGAAAGACAAATGAACAATCTCATAATTGATAACAATCTGCAATCAAACGACACAGACAATAAAGGTCAAACACTGTTTCAATACAACAAAGTTATGAAAATAATCCACTGATCTTTGCACATTGTACATGTATCAAACGATTATAATGCCACATGCTTGAAGTTTTGTGATTTCCATCAACTGAAATCAGCAGGTAGCTTCAATCCCATACATTCTATGGAGTGCACAATATTGGGTATGTCAAGTACCAACTGTGTAAGAAGAAAAAAATAAAACTCAAACCTACAAACAGACTTTTTTTTTATTGAATGATGATGACAAATACGAAAGCATGTTATTGATAATGCATGATTACACGAAGACCAGAGTGACAAGACAAGGATATCGACATCAGTAAAGCACCACTGATACTACATAACAATTAAAATGATGATCACGCCATGAGCGAAGTCAGCTTTATGCACAACTTTCAAATCAGGGTTCAATATTACTACAGAAGTCCATGGCTCAATGAATGATGTATCTATTGTGTGACCAGAGTTCCAATCCTTCCTGCATCAAACAATACCTTATGTAGATATAGGGTATCTTAGTCTCGAATCATAACCTGCCCTGGCAGAGGTCACAACAGAACGTAACTAAAACCCATGAAACTACCGACAAACATCAACAACTGATGACACAAAAGTTAATAAATCCCAAACTGCCAACTGGTCAATGCCAGTGATCACGGACCACCAAAGAGAAACCAGTTTGTATGTGCAAGCAGTACCGTCATTCAGCGGTAGAGCTTGACATCCACTTCACGCCCGTCTACTCTCGTCCTGTTCATGGCAGCTAGTGAGGGTTAAGGTTCAAACAATGACAAAAATAATGGTCTTCTTTTCTGTGTTTCTGAAAAAATTACTTGTTGATACTCAGAATAATATGACTTCACTTATTAAACATTTAACATGAAAAAGAATGTGTGGTTGGAATAACCAAATAACAACCATTAATCAGCATTATCCCAATAATCAGCATTATCATGAATCGTGTCAATTCTGTAAGGATACATATTGCTCTCTGAGCATCTTCAGCGGAACCGAATCGGACAAGTCCCCAGCCTTGAGATTTACCATTCTCCATCTTTATTTCAGCATATTTCACGTCAGCTTTGGAACAAAAATTACAGAAAATGTCATGGTGTGAAATGAAGACATTCAAGTAGATAGCAATAGACTTCTCCTCCACACATATCCACATCTGGAGTAGCCTTGATCATACACATGAACAAGCTGTAGTCTCAAGCAAGACAAGATACGAACAAGCTGTAGTCTCAAGCAAGACAAGATTCTTCCTAACTGATATGAAGTAAAAGCAAATTCTCTTTCCGTACCGCAACTCCCGTCCCGGATTTCCTTACTAGACTCGCCCCCGCAAATATTACAAAATGGCAGATTATGAATGTACATTTTAGACGAGGTGTAACTGCTGCAAGAAATAAACAGGTAACTGTGAACAAATATTTTATTGTTACATGTTGTTGTTCATAGACAAACACTTCTTCATTTTCGCAGCTGATTATGACTAACTGGCAGCTGATTATGACTGTGAAATCGGCATTTGTCCGGCAAGGAACGATATGATTCCTTGTATTCAAAACAAGCGTTGAAGTGCAGGTTCCCAATGGCGATTTTATCATTGTTACGAAATCATCAAGTTTTTTAAATACAAGTAGATTTTATTGAAACTTATATCACAATATTCATATTTATTTCCATAAATCTCGAGAAATATTTGGTGATGAATTTACAAGTTTTTGTATGGAATTAAATTGCTGCCATATCGTTTAAATTTGAGACACCAAACTCAAACATCTTGCTGCAAATGCGAAAACAATAGGTCACATAATGGAAAATGTGTACTCTGCACCTATCAAAATATTTCTTTCCAACTGATGGGTGCTGATTTTAATTAATTGGATTACGCAACTTTCGTGTGCTATAACAAGCGAAACACAAGATAAGTAACACTGAAGTCTCTTTTCGTGTGTACACGACAATAGGAATGAGACGGTCTATTATTTTGTCGTCTCTACACGACTTGTTGTGTGTACATGAAAACGGTACGGAAAGAGTTAAGGTCCTCGGTAAAGGTGAAGGTTAATACGAAATAAGCCAGCACTTTCCCAGTTTGTCCAAATGTAATGTATCAAAATCTTGTAAATGACAAAAGAGTGAGAATAAAATCCTCTCATCACAAAACAACTTTATAATGTTAGATACCTGCGTCCCCTCTATCCATCACAAAACATGTGCAATCAATCATTGTGAACTCACAGCAAAAATAATTTCTTACATCACACATTTTAGTTTTAAAAACAAATTTTCAAAACAATTGTGAAAATATAGGTTGCATAAAGTGACATGTAGATGAAATATGTCCCAATCAATTGTAAAATCAGTAAGCTGAGCTCTTTGTTAATTTATTGCGATTTCACATTATTCATATGAAACTGTAGAAAGAATTACCTGTACAATATTAGGCCCATAATTTTTCAAAAGGGATTTATTACCTTAAAAATATATAGATAAAAACTCCCCGCGATGGATAATTACAGAGTTTATAGACTTCATCCCTTCATCAGAAGAGTTTGAGGAAATTCAGATAAAAACTGTCGAGTTGTCTTGAAAAGATTCGTTGTCTGCACAAGGTTCTGTCTGGGGACAGACAGACATCCTGATTCCGGTAGCTAACAATATATATTCTAAGAGGTGACTGTACTGAAAGATACTTTACAGAAGTTGACTCACCACATGTCCTAAACTTGTCTCTCAGGGACTGCCATGTCAGTGACCAAGGTAACTGAAAACGAGATAAAATGGTTCCATCAAAATGCACATAAACAGTTCAAACCAATTCCTCCTACAGTTTGATCTAACATTCTTTACTGTTTAAACCAATTCCTCCTACAGTTTGATCTAACATTCATTGTAGCTGTAAACAAAGAAACTTCATGAATTACCACTGTAACACATGTAACTGTTTTTAATAATTACAATTAGTGCAATCTACACTTTCAATTTATTGACGAATATGCAATTCCAGACCGATTCAGGGCATACACTCTTACAAGGATGTCTCAACTTACATTTTTCACAACCACTGTACAGTTGTCTGGCCGGGTACCAAGGTTTCTACCCCCACGGTCAACTCCTCGGTCACTACTGCGGTCACGGTCACGCTGGCCAGAACGGTCGGAGGAGCTGAATGAACTACCCATAGAATTGAAGCTACTATTGCCCATGTTCCCAGAAGAACCGCCGCCCATAGAGTCCATCATGCCGGTGTTGTAACTGCCGCTGCCCATATTGCTGCTCATACCGCGGAGTTGGTCTCCAAGACTTGTTCCCATACCAGTGTTGGTGTTGTAACCAGTGTTGCCCATGTTCCCGGACACCATGCTGCTGGAGAAGTTGTCGCTCATGCCACCGGACATGCCCATATTGGAGCCAATATTTCCGGCGCCAGACATACCTGTTCCCATGCCCATTCCCATGTTGGTGCTCATGCCTGTTCCCATGTTGCCTCCCATCCCCATGTTGGAACCCATGTTGCCCATCCCAGACATTCCAGTGCCCATGTTGCCTCCCATACCCACCATACTGTTGTCCATACCACCTCCCATTCCCATTCCACCACCCATACCCATGCCACTTCCTCCCATACCCATACTGCTACCACCTGCACCCATCCCCATGGACCCACCGCCCATCCCATAACTATTCCCTCCTCCAGCTGCAAACAAAAGACACAAGCAATAAGTTAAGGAAAACACATAAAGTTTGCAAGAACTCTGTACAATGACACTTGTCTAAATTACCAATGGACACAGAATTCAAATAGGACCAAACTGGTTTTCAAATTACATAATTTCAATTAACACAGTTAGTGTAATATTTACGATGGCTGACTGAAGCAGGTTATTGAATTTTTCCTGGTTCTGATTTAAAGAAGTTATACCATAATGAATAAAAAATGTATTGCAGCTATAAATTCAATCAGTTAATACTTGTTCAAACCATTTTCAAGTACATTGTTTTCTGCTACTGTATGTGAGAGTTTGTAAAAATGAAATATAACGATTTTAATGTCAATGTTCCTCCAATAATAAATCGTTCAATTTGCATTGTACTTACAGCCCATCTGTTGTCCAATATTCTGTAGTGGCTGGCCACCGGCCCCGAGACCCAATCCAACCGACTTCAATCCACCTATTAAACAATGCCATATTTAGCATGTACATTGTCCGACACATTATTTGACACAAGGGAATAAATTTGGTTCAATCATGATGATTATGTATTTCATATTTGAAACTGAATCATATATCATACATCAAAATAAAAGACTCCTGCAACTATTTCAAAGATACTTTTCACATCGACATTGTAAAGAGTAGATAGGAATGAACATTTTTTTTCAGGGTATTAAGGTTAGTTTTTAATTCTGAAAACAAAATCAAACATCTGTAGAATTTGGACTGAATTTGAAATAGTGATTCAAATCTTACTTGGAAGTTGGACCTGGGATGGTCTGCCTCCATTAGAGCCACCTGGTGGGGTATCCATCTTCACCCTCATTGGTCGGTCAAATAGTGTCTGGTTGTTAAACATAGCTTTTTGAGGGTCAAGGATAAAATCAAATGTCAACTATTTAAAAGATGACAGATTACACAGAATCTTATCTTAATTTCAAGACAAAGTAACAAAATCTTCTAACAAACTATATTAACTTCAACGGCAGTATACTCAGATATTAGTAAGGGATCAAATGATAAATAGCTGTAGCATGTATCAAATATCTCTTCAAAATTGCAGCCCAGGGGCTTTGAATGGATTATTTGACTACTTTGTAAGTGAAGTTAAAACTTGCCCAGTAGTTGGAAAGAAATCACCAACAAGTTTAGACACTTTGTTTTAATTGAGATTTTCAACATGTCTGCTATCAGTATGCACAAATACTGCATTAAACATAAGACCATGTCAGACTTAATACTAGATGTAGTGTCCTGTAAGGATACAGATAGCCTGGAGAGCCTCCATGGGGAACTCAAACACCACAGTTCCTAATCCACGACTCTTTCCATCTTTGTCCAGCTTGATCTCTGCCCTAAGGACATTTCCTGCCAGCTTGAACACATCCTTCATCTTCTTCCAGGTTACCTTGTAGTCCAGCTGTATAGAGCAGTACATATATAAAGTTACTGATGTGGATTAATACCTTGTCTTTGTTGGGACTACAGACACATGCTCTAATGTATTCAAGGGCAGGAACTCTTAACTGAAATTACTTAAACACAAAGCTCTACCCTGCGCTTGTTTACTTTCCCTGTCATTTTAAAAGTTGTCAATCCCATTGTTGAATATTTTCAATACCTCTAGTTTTCATCTCCTTTTTAATACCAAACATGACTGTGTTTAATCCTACAGGGCACCACCAGGGATTTGCATCCCTCAATCATTTAAATTTGGACCTGTGGTAACCCTTAAACATTATATCCATAGATTTGTCGAAACCTTGGGTAGTGATACTATTAAAGGCTTCCATACCAAATTTTATGGCTTTGCTTAATAAAGTGAAAGAAACAATTTAATCACCTATGTGTTACAAAGACTCCACTTACATTGGACACAAACAATGTGTTGGTGACGGGTCCTTCGATGCCAAGTTGGTTCAGAACCTGCTGGCTCACATTCATGTTTCCTCCACCGCCACCACCCATATTTCCCATCATGCCGCCGCTGCCACCTCCGCCCCCCATGTTTCCCATCATTCCAGGCCCGCTGCCCATCATTCCTGAGCCGCCTCCACCACTTCCCCCACCACTGCCTCCTCTGGCCGCTCCTATCTGGTTCTGGTCACTCTCTCGCTCCTGTCGAAGAAGATGTAATGTGAGTCATCAAATATTTGGTGTTTCTCTTACAAAACTGGCCTTTTGTTGGTTCTACTGGTTAACACCTGAACACTTCGGACAATAGTTAACTCTTCAACACTTAGGACTCATCAATAGTGAACTCTTCAACACTTAGGACTCATCAATAGTTAACACTTCAACACTTAGGACTTATAAATAGTGAACACTTCAACATTTAGGACTCATCAATAGTTAACACTTCAATACTTCGGACTCATCAATAGTTAACACTTAGGACTCATCAATAGTGAACTCTTCAACAGTTAGGACTCATCAATAGTTAACACTTCAATACTTCGGACTCATCAATAGTTAACACTTAGGACTCATCAATAGTAAACACTTATGACTCATCAATAGTTAACACTTATGACTCATCAATAATTAACATTTTAACACTTATGACTCATCAATAATGAACTCTTCAACACTTAGGACTCATGATAGTTAACACTTTAACACTTAGGACTCATCAATAGTTAACACTTAGGACTCATCAATAGTGAACTCTTCAACACTTAGGACTCATCAATAGTTAACACTTCAACACTTAGGACTCATCAATAGAAAAAATCTCTTACGACTCTTGTCAATAATAACAATCTCATACAACTCCATCAACAATGGCAATCTCCTACTTTACTTACTTCTCTGACGACAATGTTTCTGTCCTTCATCTTATACCGGTGCATCACTTCTATTGCCTTCCTGGCTGTGTCTTTATCCTTGAACTCGATGATACTGTAAAGATCATATTTACATCTTTAGCAATAGATACTAACAAGAGATTCTTTTATAATGGATTTAACCTCCTTTTAGATTCCATCTTCAGTATATCATGTTCGGAATGTACTATATATACTTCATCTTCAATATGAAATAACATAAAATCTCCTATTATTGGCAGGGGTGTGTGTGTGCGTGTGTGTTATATATATATATATATATCAGTTATGCTTTTCAATAATACTATCAACCTTTTTTTATCTTTCGAAACAGTTTTTGTCAATTTTAGCCAAGCATTGCTAAAAATAGGTATTGATGTTGAAATAAATAGATCTGTGTTAACCTTATTCTAAATGACCAGTCTTCCTGTGCAACTTTTGAAAGCTACAAGAAATATGTGTTATGTTGGTTACATATCTAAGGCGAAATTGACATTTATCTGGTATGTATTATAGATCAGTAATATTTGGATAAAAACGTGTACCAACCCTGCTCCCCTGGACTTTCCATCTGGGTTCTCCCACATTTCTACATAGGAGACTTCTCCAACTGAAATAGAAAATTGTTACATTTATGATCTTTGCAACAGTTGAAAATAAATAATGACAACCATAAAATATTTGTGTAAAAACTCATTGGGCCCTTAAACCTATTTTAAGTACTAGAACTAGTAGATCAATGTTGACAAAGTCTAAATCAATTTATAATTTATCTCATTGTAATAATGATGTGTTAAAAGAGTTGCAGCACATTCAGAATACAGCATATATATTTATTTACTATATGGTAAACATTCTCATAGAATTCATTGCCTTAGGAAACAAACTTCCAACAAAAATTTGTATCTGGTTGTAATTCTTGGATTATTTTTAGATAGCACCTGACCAGTTCACCTTTAACTTAACTTAACAATGTGACAGGAACCCTGAAAACACAACAAACCTTCTTTTCTGAACATATCTTTGATGTCTTGCCACTTCATTTCGTAGGGAACATTGCTGATGATGCATCGTTTGGAAATGAGATTAATGCGTCTTGGTCTGTCTCTGCTGTCCCTTCTCGGCGACCTTGATCCTGAGCGTCTTACTGGTGAACGTGACCTTGATCTTTCTGGTGACCTAATTTACATAAACAAAGAGAGTGTGAACTAAAACAATTGTATACAGTACAAGATATAATAGATCAATCATATATATGTGAATATATATATCTTTTAGTAAAACTGAGTTAGGGCACGACTCATTATTACTGATGACTGACTCAATGCAAGAACCTAACGCAGTTTACAGAATAAAATATTTCCTTGACCACAGGCCACCAAGCGTGGTTAAAAAAACGGTATACTATATATATGCCTAGACCTAGTATATGTGTAATGTTAAACCACACATAAAGCACCTGTGCCATGACCTGGTTTCCAATGGACAGAAATAGTAATATTGATATCTCTGTGTTCAAAGTATGAAAATGATAACTTTATGTAGTTGATGTTGTGTTTTCCTTGAAGACAATCAATTCAGGACAAATTCAGTACCAAACATTTTCAAATCGAGCAGCATTTGGCAGAGGAATGTGTTATTTTACTGATGGAAGATTGTTTCATAAGTCAACAGATCTCTGAGTAAATGAAAATGTTTTTATATTTAATCTTGACTGTGAATTGTAAATTTCAAAGTTGTGTTTACATGTAGATTTCCCTTCCCTGACATTAAAGATGTTGGATATTTTTCAGTGGGGCTGCAACGGTTGGAAATAATGCCAGTCGGATAACTGTGTGTACTTATCCAAACCGTTTTTTGTTTGTGCCATGAAATACAGCCACCAATGGCTCTTTATTTTGATCAAAATATGATTCACTAAATGCATAAACAAAGATTACTCAATACTTATTCCTTGTAAATACAGTTGTAAAAAGTTGCAAATTCTCAAAATCTATTAACTACATAAATCGCTAGCCTCCCATTATTTTGTAGTTTCACTTTACACTCATATGTTGTCAACTCTATGCACACATATTTCTGTGCAGCACTTCATGTTGGAACACAGATGATAGCTGCCTGTGAATGATAACTTAAATTGCAATTCTGTTCAACAGTCGATATTATGTTAGTATACTGTATACATGCACTCAATGGTCTTATAGCAAATATACTGATCACAAGTGTTTTCGAGGTCTGTCAAACAGCAGCAACAAAGCACTTTGCTACCAGACTCTCATGCGCCCCCGGGTGGAGTATGCCTGCACAGTATGGGACCGGCATGGCCACCCAGGGCATCAACAAGCTGGAGGTAGTGCCAAGATGATCGGCTCGCTTTGTGTACAATGACTATTCCAAACACACCATGCCATTACTCCAGGAGCTGCAGTGGCCATTACAGTCGGAAAGAAGAGCACGCTGGAACCTAATTAGTGTAAGGGAATAATGGTGTAATCGGACAGTTAACCATCTTGTTGCTATACCATCTGCCCAGCTACAGCCGGTACAATCATCCAGCAGGGGACTGGAGATTCATGGTCCCCTTTGACAGAACCCAGATATACCAGCACTCTTTCTTTCCCAACACTATTAGGATATGGAACCAACTACGTACCACAGCAGCTCGTGGACAGCGCCACGCTAGACAGCTTTAAGATAGGTGTCCAATAGGTACAACTGCGCTAGATGACCCCCCCCCCTTTTAATCACTGATGTACATAGAGCATCAATTTGTCTGTTGGATAACTGAACTACTCAGTAGTGAAGCGGACGTAAAACCTATCAATCAATCAATCAATCAGATATACACTCTGATGCAAGATTATTCTCCAAACTGGGTTGTAAAATTTGTTGTCGTCGTTAGTGAAAGAAAATAGAAGGAGCACCAGCCAAGTTAGTACTAATATTAATACCCGGCCTCCTCTGCCCCGGCCGGGTATTAAATCGATCCCATGCCTTGTAATGGAGCAATCCCGGTGTGAAACACACCGGGGCGATTTTAGAATTAATTGACAGCACATTGGTCCGCATCTATAAATAAGGTTGTAGGATGAACTATTTCTGTTGATACCCTGCACAGCTTGAAGTTTACCGCTGCCCAAAATGTCGTTAAATTATCAAGTTAACGCAGCAAGCGTAATCTGAATTGACCGCCATGTTGGAAAGTTTGTCTCTCTTCCCGATTGTTCCGATATAGGTCAGACGTCCAAATATGGGTGTCATGACCCAATAAGGAAATTGTAGTTAACATGGCGGCATCAGTAGTAATACTATATTTGGCCACGCAGGCCATATATATAAAGGATAATTGAGATAACATCATGCGTGACATGTCATGGCGGTCGTTTCTATTTTTTTCCCCAAGACAGACTTTGTTAATTTCGTAAAAGAGTTTTTGCATGGGTAAGGATTCGTTTTTTCAACAATTATGCAATATTTTGATAACATTATACTCATATGAGGCGTGAATTATATGCAATCTTACAGATTGACACTTTTGATTTTGCTCCATTAGTTGGCATAGGACCGCTTCGTAGTTCTGACGACGAAATATATAAAAAAAAAATCTCGTTGTCAGAAAACTACGTTATCGCACCTACAGTGAAGTAGATCCCCCTTTCTCTCTTCAAAAGTTTCAAGCTATTACTCCCAAATGAAGGCGTGAGGAGGGCAACCAAAGCAGAGGATAACAGTCTAAAAACTCGTTTTTGAGTTTCAAATAACACTATATTTTATGGATAACTGAGAGACACTGCAAATTGCTTGCATTTTGGGCAACAACAGCACGCACCATGCGGCATATGCGACCCCGGCATATGTACATCATGACATGCATCAGTGCCTTGCAAAGCATTTTGTTTCTATACACGTTTAGCTGTTTTATACCTATCGTTGTCCTGATTGAATCGTTCCGTTGTTCCATCATACCTATCATTTGGGCTGCTTTGTTCGTAATTGTCATGCTCATTTGTTGGCATATCCATGTTTATTTCTTTTGTGTAGCGGCTACTCCAAATTGGACGAGATGGCGTCGGTCACGTGACTATCTGAAAGTGGGTTGATACAAATTGCAGATCATAATTGCAAGGGAATTTGCGAAAGGTAACACGTGTGCTGAAATCTCTCATAACATGCCCTTGACATACAATACTAATTAAGTTCGTACATAGTATTTCAGGTTACTGTGTATATTAGATTTACATGTATTCTTTCTGATGGTGATTAGCTACAGGTGTTTCCAAAAAATACAAACTTCTACGCTTGGAGACAGAATTGAGGGTATAGTCTATTTCAAAATTGTGTTGCTAGAGCCGGTTATCTCCCTTGACGATTATTAATAGTGGAATACTGATAAAATTCATCTCAATGGAAATAATCGAATCAAAGCTTCTTAAATCTACATAACACTGGCATAATTTACAGTGTTTTCATGGAAGTTATTTCACGATTTGTCCATACTGACTATATGTAATTTATGGATTTTTACTATTTTTGTTCACTTCCTTATAATTCCTGAAGACATGGAAAATAAATCATTTTTAATTATGCTTTATTTTTATGAACCGATTTAATTTTCTATTGAGATAAAAATATTACAAATAAAAAAGATGAGCTTTGTTCCTGCAGATCTATTGTATAAAAGAATTAAATGTAATAAGATATTTTGATGATCATTTAAATTGATAAATATTTAATTAGTATTGAATCTTCATTTCAATTCCGAAATATATTATTGTTAATATAAACAAAGATTCTTATTAGTAATACAAAAGAAACATAACAATACAAGTATTAACATTATTAAATCTTGAATAAATATTGGTAATCATAGGTAGCTGATTTCAGTTCTTTATAATTGTTGTTGTAAAAACACACACTCAATACTTATACATGACACAATACAGAAGAATGGATTTAACATTAAAATAGTACATTGATTTATTGAAGGTATCCATGAATTTCCAGGGTCATGGATGACAGTATCCATGGTGATGTGCTCCTGGTAGGAGAAGGAGACTTCTCATTCTCTGTGTCCTTGCTATCCCAACACTCCATTGAAAAACTCCAACATGTGACCACCACTAGCTTAGAGTCAGAAGAGTCCATCTCAAAACATCAAGCAGCAGGAGAGTGTATCCAACAGCTCAGGAAACATGGTAAGAACAGTTTTTTTTATAAATAATCAGAAACAAACTAACACAGTAGACAAATTTTGTTTTCCTTCAAAAATAATTCTTGTCTTCTTTGGATAAGAAACCACACAGGCCTTTACCACAGGGACCTGATAATTTGTTACAGCTTTATTTGGACCTAAACTAAGGTGTTTACAGTAATTTTACACATTTATTTTTATCGATGTTTGGTAAAAATGTCACCCCAATGATCACATAATTTAAACACCTTAGTTTAGGTCCAAATACATCTTCGAGTAGGAAGACCAGATCATACCAGATCATAATACTTCATTGGCTAGCGAAGATGGTCCAAATAAAGCTGTAACATATTCTCAGGTCCCTGTGGCCTTTACAGGATTAAGCACCCTTAAAATATACTTGCCATGGAAAAGTTCAAGACAGTGTTTTTGTTATGTGTTTGCCTTGTATATGTAGCTGGTGCAAAGTAAAGCTTATTAATACCAACTTGGCTCTAATGTTGATTAAAACTAAATAGGAAACATATAAATTTGATTGTTTTATATACTGTCTAGTGTACATGTAAAGTTTAATATGCCATTTACTGAAAAGAAAAAATCCTATTTAATTGTATCTGATTGAAGCCAAGGAATACAATTATTATTAAATTAAGAAATGCATTAAATAATTAAAAATAAGTAACTTGTTTACTATTGCTTAAAATTAATTTCACAGTAAATGTTTATTATCTCAAACTGTGTATAAGTCTAAGTAAAGATGGTATTCTGGACTTTAGAAGAAATGTTTCAATGTCTTGGTTTTCAGGTCTGACAGTGCTATTTCAAGTTGATGCTACAAAACTCCATGAAAACCTTGATTTAAAAAGCAAAACTTTCGATAGAATCATTTTCAACTTTCCTCATGTGGGTGGAAAATCCAATATAAAGAAAAACCGAAAGCTACTTGACGACTTCTTTCTGAGGTAATTTATCCTTTAAATACCTATCTATTTTGTATTATATTAAATTAATATATGATACATCTGTAAGATTAATTATTGACCAATAGATATGTGACCTAAATTGACAACTTTAACCTCTACTTTTCAAGGGAATTTTATGAGCTGTATTATACATGATTGAACAGTGAGTGTTGAAAAATTACAGTCCTCTGTCATTACTGTCTGATAGCTACTGTGTTTTTTTGTAGTGCTTCAAATGTGTTGAAAGCAAATGGTAAAATTTTGGTGACCTTGTGCAAAGGACAAGGTGGATCAGCGGCCGATCAACCAATGAGAGCTTGGCATAACAGTTGGCAAGTGGTTTCCATGGCAGCCAATGCTGGGTTCATTCTCAGAAGAGCAGTACCTTTTCAGACAAACAGCTATGTGCAGTACAACAGTACTGGGTTCAGGTTGGTGTCTACTGGTAAATCAGTCAGCAACTTTTAGCAGGTGTTTGCAGAGGTTAGAGAATGTCAAGGTTAAATATATATAGTAACCAGCCATAGTCAGCTTTGTTCAAACATAAACAAGTGTTGTTTTTTTTATCAGAATGGTGCATGCATGTTCATTGTATCTCATTTATTACTATAACTACATCAGCACTTTTGATGCAAACATGTGCACTCATTTAGAATAAAATTACATGAATTTTGCTGTGAACAATTAATTGGATGAAGATATTTGGTATAGCATTTCCAGTTATATTAGGTAGATAATAATACATTTAGGGTACAATATTTGTAACTTTGATTTGTAGAAGTCAAGACAAAGGATTTCACACTGAGAGAGCAGTAACTCATGTATTTGAGAAGGCAGAGATGGTTCCTGTACCAGATCAGACGTCTGTCAGACATTATCTGTCTAACAAAGTCAACAGGTAGATAATTCCATTACTTTAGACAAAACACCTGTCCATGGCATCATTTCACTATTTTAAACAAAACACCTGTTCAGGGCATCATTTTCACTACTGCAGACAAAACACCTGGCCTGGGCATCATTTCACTATTTCAAACAATACACCTGTTCAGTGCATCATTTCACTTTTTCAAACAAAACACATCATTTCACGTCTGCAGACAAAACACAATTTTACAACTTCAAAAAATCTTTCTAGTGCATCATTTCCCTAATTCTGTCTAGGGAACCATTTCACTACCTCAGATAAAACACCTATTCACAACTTTAGACAAAATGCCAGATCATGGTCACTGTTCTTTCTCTTGGATTGCCTACCTGTTTTCACTGTAAAATTAAACATATTAAGTTGACAGACCAAAGGGCTAAAATTTGATATAAAAGCCATTAGTGTTTGTTGTATTTTATACTGTTAAGTCCTGAGTCACTTTGCTGTGTTGTAGTCTGTAAAAAGATGTAAAACAAAAATAACCTGATTTGATTGATTCCAATGTTTTTAAGGAGGCTACATGAGGAGGCTGGCCACCCTGTGTGTGAGGTTAGGAGACAACTGGAGGAGAGGCTCGTTACTAGTGACGGCATTGAAGTCCAGCTGGTCACTGTCAGAACTCCTATTCTGAGGCAACCATTGGAGTGGTCAGGAAAGTCAGCAATGTCGTCACCAGTGATGTCCTCCGCACAGCGTGTTGAAAAACTTTGCATATCAGATTCTGAGGTAGCCATTGAAACTGAAGATACATCATCTGTAACACATGACAAATCTACATGCAGCCACAGATGTACACGTGGCGACACAGCCACAGGCGACGACACATCTACACCTGACCATATACCTACATGTGACCACAAATCTACACACCAGGAGACATCTGTGCATGTCAGTACACATGTACACCAGTGTTACTACCTGGGCTCCAGGAATCCACTTTCTTGTTATGGGCCAATAGTAAAGGATCACCATAACATACCGGAGACATCATTGGTCCAAGAGCCATGTGGTAGCCAATCAGATACAATGACAAATATTACAGAAGAGGCAACAGATTTACAAAAGGACTACACAGAGACAAGACAACAATCAACAGAAACAGGTGCACCTACAGAAGCTACAAATATTTTACTGAATGAGGAACATCTACGAATGTCAATGCTGGAACATTTAGGTGACTTTATACAGCATACAAAGCATAGTCCTAAACAGATCGTCATAGCAACAGGAGAAGTGTATAGACGTTGTCAGATAAACCCTAATATACAACCATGGGGAGTGGAAATGATTTGTGTTTTACCAGAACTCTCCACTGAAGAGGAAGAAAATGGTGAAGAAAATGTTGAATCTTTTCCTCAAAATTTCAACTCCATCTATTACCATGCCAATCAAATGTGCACTGAAATAAAAGCAGCACTCGGATCATGTGGGAAGATTAATGTAGAAAGAGTAGGCACACCAACCATAGTAACTACAGATTTGTATTCACTTGCTGCAATAAATATGTGTGTTCTTGGTGAAAAAGGGAGAACTGTCGAAACTATTGGCTCGGTAATGGTGTACAGACCGAAAGAACAGCTGAGCCGACCTATTCTGGTGGTGGATGTAGCCAAATTGTCGATCTGTCTGTATCAGATTCCACACGAGACACTACTCTGGTCTCCCGACAGGAAAGTCACGCAGCAGTTCAAAAGGGAAGGTGGTGATTGGCCAATATTCAAAACTGTTAGTTTATACCCACTTACATTAACTTTTGACATGAGTTTCTGGGAGAACACTTTTGTGAGTACATTTGACACCCTGCTGTACTACGATATCATAAGGAGTGTAGCAGGTGATGAGATATCGTCAGTAGAATTGCTAGAAACTTACCAGGACATACAGACAGACAGGCCTAGTCGGTGTCGCAGTCGATGCTACCGACTTACTTTCCTGTCACATGATCGGGTGTTGTCATACAACACTTCCTGGCAACTACAGAGTGTCATACGACTGGAGGTGGCCCGAATCATGGGTGTGGAGCTGAGATAGGCAGTCATTCAGTTACATTTCTTTGTTCAAAGAGATAATTACAATATCAAAATTACTTTTCAGTCTTGATTAATCAAATTCTGGTTACAGTTAAGTTATGTGGGTGTTCTATCTAATGTAAAAAAAACACTATTTTGCCTGAAATTCACAAATTCTGAACAGCAAGAAAAACATGTAAATAAAACAATAGGCCCTTGTCAGTATCTTGCATTTTTGATTGAACAGTGTTTGTTTGCAAAATATATTTAATGCTGAAAAGCATTTGAAGTTTTCAACACAAATTTTGATTGCTGAGTGAGAGCACACAAAACAACTGGTATACCCAACTGAGCTGTTGACCTTGAGGTTCTAAAAGTGAAACATGACGCCTTGTCTAGTCACTATCCATACATATAAATGAAATATCACATTTAATTACTTTTTTACAGTATTTTATTCAATTATTTAACATAGCTATAACATGCATGCATTTCAGAGGGATGGAATACTCAATAGCATGGTTAGAGCTTCTTTAAATACCTGTCAGATTTATTTTTGCTGATCAACACATTGCTGTGACTTTGATACTTTGGATAAAACCTATGTGTTGTAGTCATACTACATACATGTATATCTGCTATATTTCATTGAATGAAGTTGATTAATTTTAATGATATAGCATGAATAAGAATTGCAGTGATTTGACCTTGAACCGTATATCAATACTGTGACCATGACCTTGGAATTTGGACTTATATTTTGTCTTGTCAAAGTACATTCTTATGAAATTTTATCCAATACTGTTGAATAGTTCAAGATAATCTGATATACAAGAATTCCACGGAAGTAGATGTGTCGCCTGCGCAGGAAGCTGGGAGATTACGAAGAAATAGATACACTTTTCATTTCAAGAAATAATGTTAAAAGTAAGCAATAATCATAGATTAGGTTTTTGGATGGCATCATTTTGTTATATAATCTGTTATTCTGGGAAGAATACTTGAGTTTTAAGGAACTTGCTATGGATACTCATTGTCTCAATTCCAAGTTTAATTTGTATGATTTGTCGGATGGTTTCCCATAAATAAATGAATAAACTTGTGGATTATAATGTTAAACAGCTAGTGTTGTCAATAACATTTGGAGTAAGACGGCATTTCAGAGGTATACACGGTGGGTCAAGTGGTAGATCGAAGCCGTCCAGTATACAGTTTTAGTGAAGTTTCTATTTATAGTAACAGTGACCTTGACCTTTGACCTTCGGACCTGAAAAGCAATCCCAAGCAAGCACTTTTGGTAAGGAAGCACTGCATGAAGTTTGAGTTTGATCGGCCCAAGGAAACTCAAGTTATCGCACGAAAACAGATTTTCTATTTATAGTAACAGTGACCTTGACCTTCGGACGTGAAACGCAATCCCAAGCAAGCACTTTTGGTAAGGAAGCACTGCATGAAGTTTGAGTGTGATCGGCCCAAGGAAACTCAAGTTATCGCACGAAAACCTCTGTTCGGACGCCGCCGACAAAGCAATACCTATATGTCACCAGCTTTGCAGGCGACACAAAAATCATTGATGAGCAAATTGACTGCGACACGTATACTTCATACATGGGTAAAAAAATGATACACTGAGTGCTATCGCATTATAAGTTGTATACCTTATTTTCGGGTATAAGAAAGGACAGACAGACATAGAATTACCAATGACCATGAAATAGATTTGTTTGTACTGTTAGGTTTTACAATATGTTGAAAATGGAGACTTAATCACTTCAATATTGTCTTTAACAAAATCTGATATATTATGTTTTATATTCATATCATAAATTATTTTCTAAAAATATCTGGTTTCCTTTTTTTGGGGACACATTTTCTGTAGTTATCGTTGAAACCAATTTCCAGTGTTTTTTTAACAAGAGGCCCATGGGCCTTAACGGTCACCTGATATATTTATACAGAGAGTTGATTTTGTTTTTAACATGAACAGAAATATTATTCAAAGTGACAAAAAACAATAAAACCACCTTATTCAATATCTAGCATACAGATTTAGACTAAAAAGGATTTGAAACTAGCACCTCTGATTCTTAACAAGGAAAATGAAGAAATTTTAGCACACTGACTCCTTTGAGCCCCACCCTACAGCCCTTGGGGGTAGGGCTGGCTCAAAATTTTCAAAGTATCAAACTGTCAATTCAAGGTTATAATTCCAATCAAGTTATTAACATGTAATATTCAAAGTATCATTTG